TAGATGACAATGCGCACCAACTGGTGCATCACTCATGGGAAAATGCCCCAAGACATTTAGAGAGTAACTTAGTCCTAAGCAGGGCAGGGGTCGACAACTTCCATAATACCATGTTTCTGGAGCTGTAGGACCAACTCATTCATGTTTCTGTACGTAATGACGGTGCTTCTAACTTCCATACTCTAATATACATATTTCTTATTGGAGTTGTTTTTCGCCAGAAGTTTACGGGCGTTGCCTGTGGGCGTGGGCCTGAGTTTCTAACCGTGAACAAGATCTCCCACTAGGAAGTTCATTACTATAGCTATGGCACCAGATACCTGCGACCCCTGCAAACCATGTGCAAACGCTGCAGGCAGATTTTAAAACAAAAATATTTGGAGAAGCAGAATGATGCGTTTTTACAGTTTCTTTGCAAAGAAACTGTTACATGCACACACTCCTTGCTATGCTTTTAAGTAGTTTCTGCTCGTTAGCATTATTTTTTCCATGCATTAAGCGATGACTGTTCTGCATTACAGACAGAAACCGATCTTGCTGTGTGGGCAAACAACCAATGGAAAGAAAACGCTTTCAAGTTTCCCTTTCCCAAAACAGGGTGCTCAGAATTACGCGAGCAGATGCCTGACTTTTTTCGCGTTGTTGCAAAACACACTGGGGCTTCGACGGACTTGAAGGACCCATGTGTCGTACCAGTGGTACGTGTATTTGCGCCTTCGTGCAATAAATTCACTTGAGGGGGACCCTGGTGAAACTGTCAAGTAGGTTTTAAAATAATCCCAGAAAGTTGAAACTTTGCTTAATTATTAGGTCTATTATGGTGGGTATTCCCAAAACAAAATACAAACCAAAATGCTAAACGATCTCTGAGAAAAGTGCTACTTTAGTGTATTTTGGAGCGTTGGGGGAAAATCTCACTGCAACTTTTCTTGGGACGGAAAGTCTTGAAAATATTTTTGGGTTATCTGAAAGATGTATAGGAGAGATTTTAGTGACGGAATTTTCAGAGTCAACTTCTGTCCTGGGATACGAGTTTTCAAATTTTAACATTTCGAAAGATGGGTTTTTGCCTATTTTTGAAACTTTTATGTGTGTGTAGAATAAGGTAGCGTTGATTCCATCACTAAAATTTGTCCACACCAAATGTTTTTGTACAAATTTTGTTCGAGACATCACAGTTTTTTGTGCACACGAACTTTTCGTACAAATTTGTACAAAATTTGGTACAATTTTGTACAAAAATGTCGAAATATGTGCAATTTTGTTCAAAAATCTCGAAATGCGTATGTGCAATTTTTCGTACGAAAATTTCGTGTGCACAAAAAACTGTGATGTCTCGTACAAAATTGTACATAACATTTAGTGTGTCAACAAGTCATCTAAGAATAGAGTCCATGGAAGACGACTCATGTATGTGTCAACCAGGAGCGCAGAAAGTCTTTCTACGATAAAATTTTTTGTCGACTGAGTAAAGCTGCGAAGTTATTAGCCAACGACAGCTGATCTTAATGTTGTTTCTTTCCAAATCATAAAGAAACTACCCACTTGGCTTAAAGGTGTTTAACCTGTTGAATCTGAAACCTTCTAGGTGCATTTTTATCTATGATCTTTAAAAATAATGGTTTTGGCAATTTTGGACATTTTTTCACCAGGTTCCCCCTTTAAATTACGTAAATTCTCTTGAGGGAAAGAGGTAAGGCAGAGTAATTGGCTACTCTTCCCGTTGATATTCCAGGGACACAGCGTGTTGAAGGATGAACCGGTGAACTGGACATTCCCCAACTTCCCGACCATGCCGTATGGGCGCTATCGGTATCGAATGCGATCGCGCCTGACGCGCAACAGCCCCATCGTTTGCATGTGTGTGGCGGTCGACTGCGAGGTCATCCCAAAGCCATGATGCCCATGGTCACCGCCCTTTAACACCGGCGGCTAAAAGAATCCGGTTTTCGAAATTTGAGGCATGCCTGCATGTACACTCCACCTGGAGCAAACCCGAACCCGGCAAGTGCAACTACGCTAGAGGGAACACGCCACGCTGGAGCATGTTTATGCTTACCAAGTACACGATTAATACACTGCAAGAAAAAGTGCGGATAGTACAACAAAAGTACAACAAAAACTGTACAATAAAAGTACAACAGGGATTGTAGAAAGTACAACGAGCCCTGGACTGCACAGCACTCGTCATGCCGGTTCCATTGTACTTTGTACAACAATTGTTGTACTTGAAAAGTACACTAAATTCCTGATAAAAAATTTGCCAGAAATTTTTGTACTTTTGTTGTGGTTATTTCCTGCAGTGTATGGAAGAGGTAGGGAACTTTAGCAACAGTGTAAGTACACACTTACAAACGCATCCTTCTTGGCATGGAGTTGATGGCAAAACGGACAATTTTACTAAAATGTCGGAAATGCAGGAGTGTGCGAAAAGATGTATTTTGAGCACATCCAGGTCCCGGATAGTCGAAGTCCCGACAGATCCTGAAAGAGGAAGGTCCAAAGGACCATTTTCCACCCAGAACTCATTTCATTAAATTTCACGGCACGAAGCATGCGTTTGTGTGTACAGTATGCGTTTGTAAGTGTGTACTTGGCCGAGCATGCGTTTGCAAGTGTATGTACTTCGAAGACAGTTAGGTTCGTAGTGTTGGCAAGCAGGCTCCAGCGTGGAGTGTTCATGCAGGCAAGCTTCAACCTTCGTGTGCGCCGAGGGGTCGACAACTACCTCGAGCCGTGTACGAGGTAGTATATATTACCGGTAATATAAGTAATATAGGGTAATATAAGGTAATATACGGAAATAAAACAACGGTAATATATGATAAAAGAAGATGAGAACGTGACACAGTATCCTTGACTAAGGCTAAAATCAGGAGTTCTGGCTAGAATTTTGGTATTATGCAGACCTTACCCTCGTTTCATGACAGCGCCCCCTGTCAGATAAAAGGTATGCAACCCGATGCAACCTATCTGACAAAAGTATGGCGCGTAGCTTCATGTCAGATTGAACACGGACATCAAATCCGAATTTCTTCCTGTCGCAAGGAGAAGCCTAATAGCTTTAACACCTTGATACCAAGGTTCAGTACGGCAAGTTTAACGTTAGTTTAGGTTAGAAACAAGCAAATCACAGAAATATGTGGTAATATAGTGGTAATATAGTGGTAATATAGTGGTAATATAGTGGTAATATAGAGGTAATATACGGTAATATAGGGTAATATACGGTAATATACGGTAATATAAGGTAATATAGAGGTAATATAAGCTCTGCGTACGAGGTAATATGGGAGTTGTCGACCCCTCGGTGTGCGCACTTGAGTTTGTAGAGCGTACCGAGACAAGAAAACCAAGCCCAATATGAATAAAATCGTACAACTTGACCCCCCCCTAAGAAAACAATCGTAACTCGCTCGGAAGCTGGGTTACTATAACTCGTTTATAGTTAATTTTACAGGGAGAGAAAGGAAGTTCAGATAAATGCCACCAATCAGGAGGGCGTCGTGTCAATAGGAAATTAGAACCAGTCTGAGTCACAATATGTGAGAAGTCCAACGGTAAGGGAAGGTGGGGTACCATGTGACACGGCCACCATGTGACTTTGGCTTTTTCTCCCAAACGGCTTGCTATCCAACAGCGGTAAGAAGATTCAAAGGAAGGTATCATGAAGGAGAATTGACGTGCAATAGGTCGTGACTCTCCTTCGAAAAGGACGGGAATGGTAGCAATCGGAATTGAAAACCGTCTTAAAATAGCCCATTGGAAACTTTTTCTATTTCCCGCCGCGTCCGCTTTTTACCCTTAAAATACATTTTAAGGACATATGCTCTGCAAGATGTTCTTCTTTGATGTTTTAAGCGCAAAATAAGCTTTGGCTCGATTCTCTACGGCATAAACTTTGAGCGTTATTGCTGTTTCCCCTAAAACTGTTGATCTGGGCACCATGTGACACTCCTGTCATTCGCTATGGGATTCCACGGTTCACTCAGTTGAATGTGTTCAGCCCATGACATTTGTACACTAAGAACTAAAACCTTCATTGCTCGGGAACCAAAGATGATAAATTGATAAACTCAACGGAAATAAAAAGCTGGACGACTTCTTCATTCATTCTTTGAGTATAGGTACGCTGAATATGATTTAAACCCTGACAAAAGGCCACTGTCCCATGGTACACTAAGGCTGTCACATAGTGTACTACGTGGGGTACGAAGTGACACTTTGACTTGGCCCATTCAACTCGGGATAACTCAGCAACCAAAACAGATAAATTAGAAATCTCAACAGAAATTTTAAGGTGAAGAATCATTTCGTTCACATGACTACTTATTGATGTAATGTGATTGGTAGTATTGGGTTGATGGGCACTTTACAAAAACCGTCACATGGTACCCCACCTTCCCTTACTCATTGAAATATCGAAAACGCTCTCCCTTGACCGTTGGCGAAAGAATCAATGCCTGTTGGGCTGGCTGCAGTTCATCGTTGCGTGGGTTAGGACGGATTCCTAGCGCCCCGGTGAGCTCAGATGATTTTCCTAGGAGGGGTCGAACTTTTAATTTTTCTCAGTTCTAAAAGCCAAATTGACATGACCGGAGGACCCGGCCTCGACTCTGCGAATACCATGTGAGGTGCCTCTTTGCAAGATTTGAGGCGTTCGTCATTCACGGGAAACATTAAGAGGGGACCTAGTTTTGACGATCAGTGTTGCACGAAAAGCGAATAATTTGAACGAAATTAGAGTGCCTGGCATGAAAACTGTCTTCTGCGAGGCTGTGCTGAAGTTTAATCAGTAGAGCCACTAGTAAGTTTCATCGACGTCGTTTTCTTGCAAGCATCCGCCAAAATGTCCTAATGTGTGTCTGTCGATTAACATTGCAGGTCAGGTTTTTCTTCGTGATGTATTTAATAAATGTCAAGTTTTGAAGATGTTGGTAAGAGGAGCGAGTGACGCCCAAGAAGGAATATATACCAACCACGTATTTGACAAACAATAATTTAATAGAATACTTAACTTTAATCACCAAAGTAGCACGTGCGGAAGAAGAAAAAGAACACTCAGTTTCCTCACATTCCCAACATAACATATTCCCAACATAACAACATACGACGGACATTCTTATGGCCAAAGATGCTTCAAATCAAAATTAAAATTGATCATCTTGTAAAAGTAAGGTTCTTCAGATGGATATTTTCTTATTCAGTGAAGTAATGCAAGAAAGATAATAGCGTGTCCGGACGAATTGTTCTTCCAAGAGCCACTCCAATTTCAAATGTTTAAAATGCACATAACAAATTAGGACACCTCAGCGCTTGAAAACAAAGAACGTTATTTGGCCTTTCATTGAAAACAGCACAGTAGTAAATGTTCATGAAGAACGGAACATGGACGCTTCTGGGCGCTCCAAAATGTGACTGTCGCAGACCCAGGGTTTATGATTTCTTGGATAACTACCTACATTGGGCGAATAAAATTTAAGAAATAATGATAATTAAAGTATCGTGATTCCTGTATCCTAAGTACTTTTGACCGCAAACTGCACTTCAGAGTGTGCTGCTGACTGCACACCGCCTTTGTTAGACAAACGCAAAATTGACAGAGATGAAACAGTGATAATGGAAATTACATAAGGGCACTATGGTCCACTCATAGTAGATACAGTAGTTTTCTGTCGACTATGGCTAACACGTGACATTTACCTCCAGCCAGACTTAAACAATACCAGCGGTACATAGGCAGAGACCAACCAGAGCAGCAAGCGCTGCGGTGTGATTTAACTTGATCGCGGCTCCAACAAAACCATTTGGGGTCATTGAACACAGTTATAAAGAGCAGAGGAAAGATATTCTGTGCAGAGCAAACACAGATTCTCTCTCCCACGCCTGAAAACCTCCAATGGTTTTGTTGTAGCAACGACCGATCGCAAATCAGCGGTTCGCTACTTAAGTCGAAGTGTACATGAACAATGGAAACGGCTGTTGTGGGCCCGAAGTTACTGTTAATTTCAACTTTGGATGAAGTTAGTAATCATCGACGTGTCGGTCACGAAATAAAGCGTGCCGCACGACACTCTCCAACCACACACGCTTAGTTGTCCTCCCAGGGCATGCCGCGTGCGGGGTAGGCAGGGTACTCGTCGCACTCCCCGCACAACACCTTGGGCACGTTCAGGGGCTTGGAAGAGTCTGCCACCGCCAGCAGACTGTGCGTGACGCTGGTCCACACGGCGCGCCTCTGGTTGATGCACGAGACCCTGCCGTGGAGCAACACGTCGTCGGCGTCGTCGGGGATGTCACGCAGCAGCACCACGCTCCGCAGCGCCGTCAGCCCGCACAGCCGCAGCCCCGCGGCCAGGTCCTTCAGGCAGACAGAGGTGCCCATTAGCATTAATCGTAATCAGTCTATAGTCAAAATAATCCTACACTATCAGCCTATTATTTTTAGGGGTTACGACGAAGGAGGACCCCTATTGTTTTTGACGGCTGAGATTCTTATTTTTTTTTCCGGCTTTTGACCATATATTTAAGCTACTATTGCTGCCAAAATCGAGGGGTCGACAACTACCTCGAGCCGTGTACGAGGTAGTATATATTACCGGTAATATAAGTAATATAGGGTAATATAAGGTAATATACGGAAATAAAACAACGGTAATATATGATAAAAGAAGATGAGAACGTGACACAGTATCCTTGACTAAGGCTAAAATCAGGAGTTCTGGCTAGAATTTTGGTATTATGCAGACCTTACCCTCGTTTCATGACAGCGCCCCCTGTCAGATAAAAGGTATGCAACCCGATGCAACCTATCTGACAAAAGTATGGCGCGTAGCTTCATGTCAGATTGAACACGGACATCAAATCCGAATTTCTTCCTGTCGCAAGGAGAAGCCTAATAGCTTTAACACCTTGATACCAAGGTTCAGTACGGCAAGTTTAACGTTAGTTTAGGTTAGAAACAAGCAAATCACAGAAATATGTGGTAATATAGTGGTAATATAGTGGTAATATAGTGGTAATATAGTGGTAATATAGAGGTAATATACGGTAATATAGGGTAATATACGGTAATATACGGTAATATAAGGTAATATAGAGGTAATATAAGCTCTGCGTACGAGGTAATATGGGAGTTGTCGACCCCTCGGCACAGCCGCAGCCCCGCGGCCAGGTCCTTCAGGCAGACAGAGGTGCCCATTAGCATTAATCGTAATCAGTCTATAGTCAAAATAATCCTACACTATCAGCCTATTATTTTTAGGGGTTACGACGAAGGAGGACCCCTATTGTTTTTGACGGCTGAGATTCTTATTTTTTTTTCCGGCTTTTGACCATATATTTAAGCTACTATTGCTGCCAAAATCGAGGGGTCGACAACTACCTCGAGCCGTGTACGAGGTAGTATATATTACCGGTAATATAAGTAATATAGGGTAATATAAGGTAATATACGGAAATAAAACAACGGTAATATATGATAAAAGAAGATGAGAACGTGACACAGTATCCTTGACTAAGGCTAAAATCAGGAGTTCTGGCTAGAATTTTGGTATTATGCAGACCTTACCCTCGTTTCATGACAGCGCCCCCTGTCAGATAAAAGGTATGCAACCCGATGCAACCTATCTGACAAAAGTATGGCGCGTAGCTTCATGTCAGATTGAACACGGACATCAAATCCGAATTTCTTCCTGTCGCAAGGAGAAGCCTAATAGCTTTAACACCTTGATACCAAGGTTCAGTACGGCAAGTTTAACGTTAGTTTAGGTTAGAAACAAGCAAATCACAGAAATATGTGGTAATATAGTGGTAATATAGTGGTAATATAGTGGTAATATAGTGGTAATATAGAGGTAATATACGGTAATATAGGGTAATATACGGTAATATACGGTAATATAAGGTAATATAGAGGTAATATAAGCTCTGCGTACGAGGTAATATGGGAGTTGTCGACCCCTCGGCCAAAATAGATAGCTTGAATTGCATTGGCTACTGTGGCAGTCAATGGGTGCATACAAGGTCCGGAAGATAGTAAAGACTGCTTTGACAAAAATAAGATCTGTGTACATTCTGGTCAATGTGACCAAAGGCCAAACTAATGGGCCTCTTCTTCGTTTTTAATTTCTGATTTCTATTGCTTTTTCCGGCCAGGTTTTAGACGCAATGTATTTCATCGTTTTTACCCCATTGCTGGTGTCGGGGACCCGATTGCAGCACCGTTTCGGACATGCCTCCACTAGACCTATAGATAGGGCGCATACAAATTTTAGGTCGGTCGGTCCCCTTTTCCGAAGATTGAGTGCATTTTGGTTCCGTTTAGAACTATTTAGTCGTTTTGAGGATGTTGCCGGTGGGTCAGTACTGGACCTCCCCTCTCCTAGAGCTCCCCCCCCCCTATTTTCCGCCTTTACTTGAATTATTTTTATTTAAATGTGATAAAATGAATTAAATATGATAAAAGACATTAAATATAATTAAATGTCATTAAATGAATTAAATCTGATAAATGTGATTGCACTGCTGGTGCCGAGTGCAAGTTAGATGGATTGGAGTCTACACTCTAAATATGGGGTGCCCAGCAACTGGGCGCCTTTGTCGCTCGCCCCACTTTTTAGGGTGCCAAATGTCGCCCAGTTTCTGGGCACCTTTGTCGCCCAGTCTCGGGGTGGACAAATCATACATTAACCGGCCCTCTCCCATGGTAGAGCATGCTCAAGTGTCTAGATCCTCGGCGACTAAGGTGCCTGAGATTCTGGGCACCTTTGGCACCTCAGTCGCTGCTGAGCCATGGGTGAAGGCAGGTTTCTTAATGGTTTGTCCACCCCGAGACTGGGTGACAAAGGTGCCCAGGAACTGGGCGACATTTGGCACCCTAAAAAGTGGGGCGGGCGACAAAGGCGCCCAGTTGCTGGGCACCCCATATTTAGAGTGTTCACTAGCCGCGTGAGACCAGCATCGTTCTACCACGCAGGAAGATGCTACGAGAGCTCCAGCGCGGCGGCGCACAGTGGGACGAAACGGTGAAAAGTGGGAAAAAAATCAGACGTTCTCCTTAAGTACTCCAATGGGACCCAAAACACCATACCACACCAGAAAAAGGGCCCAGAGTGGCCCAAACCCATTTCGGCCCCTGCCAGGGTTCAAAAACCCGAGATTTATGCGATTTTTGGCACTTTTTTGGCACATTTTGTGAAATTGCGCCTTGTCCTGAATGACTAGGCCGTCCGTACTAGCATTAAATTTTCATTTTTAGTCTCTGTTTACATTTCGTGAAATAAAAAGTTTCGCCTTTTCAGAACAAAGCTTTAAAATGCGCCAAAAACGGTCAAAAGAGTCGAAAAATCGTGTTTTTTGGCCCTTTTTGGCACATTTAATGAAATTGAGCTTTGTCCTGAATGAATAGGCCGTCCGTACTAGCATTAAATTTTCATTTTGGGTCTCTGTTAACATTTCGTGAAGTAAAAAGTTGCGCCTTTTCAGAACAAAGCTCTTAAATGCGCCAAAAACGGTCAAAAAAGTCGAAAAATCGTTATTTTTGGGACATTTAGTGAAATTGAGCATTGTCCTGAATGAATAGGCCGTCCGTACTAGCATTAAATTTTCATTTTGGGTCTCTGTTTACATTTCGTGAAGTAAAAAGTTGCGCCTTTTTAGATCAAAGCTCTTAAATGCGCCAAAAACGGTCAAAAAAGTCGAAAAATCGTGTTTTTTGGCCCTTTTTGGCACATTTAGTGAAATTGAGCTTTGTCCTGAATGATTAGGCCGTCCGTACTAGCATTAAATTTTCATTTTGGGTCTCTGTCAACATTTCGTGAAATAAAAAGTTGCGCCTTTTCAGAACAAAGCTTTTAAATGGGTCACAAAAGTCGAAAAATCGCGGTTTTCAGCAGTTGAGCGACTTTTGCGACCCATTTAAATGCTTTGATCTGAAAAGGCGCAGCTTTTTATTTCACGAAATGTTGACAGAGACCCAGAATGAAAATTTAATGCTAGTGCGGACGGCCTAATCATTCAGGACAAAGCTCAATTTCACTAAATGTGCCAAAAATCACGATTTTTCGACTTTTTTGACCGTTTTTGGCGCATTTCAGAGCTTTGTTCTGAAAAGGCGCAACTTTTTATTTCACGAAATGTTAACAGAGACCCAAAATGAAAATTTAATGCTAGTACGGACGACCTATTCATTCAGGACAATGCTCAATTTCACTAAATGTCCCAAAAATAACGATTTTTCGACTTTTTTGACCGTTTTTGGCGCATTTCAGAGCTTTGTTTTCAAAAGGCGCAACTTTTTATTTCACGAAATGTTAACAGAGACCCAAAATGAAAATTTAATGCTAGTACGGACGGCCTATTCATTCAGGACAAAGCTCAATTTCACTAAATGTGCCAAAAAGGGCCAAAAAACACGATTTTTCGACTTTTTTGACCGTTTTTGGCGCATTTTAAAGCTTTGTTCTGAAAAGGCGCAACTTTTTATTTCACGAAATGTTAACAGAGACCCAAAATGAAAATTTAATGCTAGTACGGACGGCCTAGTCATTCAGGACAAGGCGCAATTTCACAAAATGTTCCAAAAAGTGCCTAAAATCGCATAAATCTCGGGTTTTTGAACCCTGGCATGGGCCAAAATGGGTTTGGGCCACTCTGGGCCCTTTTTCTGGTGTGGTATGGTGTTTTGGGTCCCATTGGAGTACTTAAGGAGAACGTCTGATTTTTTTCCCACTTTTCACCGTTTCGTCCCACTGTGCGGCGGCGGCACTGACAGGGCTGAATTTAAGTGATCTCACCTATCCTAACCAAACCTAACGGACTGGCGACGGATCTCACTCTCACTCGCGACAGATCTTTCTCTAACTTGCGACAGATCTTTCTGTAACTCGTCAGATCTGTCGCAAGCTAGAGAAAGATCTGTCGCGAGTGAGAGTGAGATCCGTCGCCAGTCCGTTAGGTTTGGTTAGGATAGGTAAGATCACTTAAATTCAGCCCTGTCAGTGCCGCCGCCGCCGCGCTGGAGCTCTCGTAGCATCTTCCTGCGTGGTAGAACGATGCTGGTCTCACGCGGCTAGTGTAGACTCCAATCCATCCAACTTGCACTCGGCACCAGCAGTGCAATCACATTTATCAGATTTAATTCATTTAATCACATTTAATTTCTTTTATCATATTTAATTCATTTTATCACATTTAAATAAAAATAATTCAAGAAAAGGCGGAAAATAGGGGGGAGCTCTAGTACTTCCTGTTGCCGGTGACGGGGACCCGATTGTGGCACAGTTTCGGAAATGTCTCGACCAGACCCATCGATAGGGCGAATAAAAATTTTCAGTCGGTCGGTCGCATTTTTGGAAGATTGAGTAGGTTTGCTCGGAAACGGTGAGGAATTTTCAACACTGTGGCGAAAAGCTACGGAAAATTCTGTAAACAGCTTGTGGTAATTCTCCGTAGCCCCCTTATCAATATTCTCCGTAGGCCATTACAGTATTTTCCGTAGGACCGCACAGTATTCTCCGTAGGACCTTACAGAGATCTCCGTAGGACTATACAGTCTTCCAGGTCCTACGGAGAAGACTGTGCGGACTTACAGAGAATACTGTGCGGCCCTACGAAGAATACTGTAAGAGCCTACGGAGAATATTGATAAGAGGGCTACGGAGAATCCTGGCAAAAAAATTAACAGAATTTTCCGTACCTTTTTGCCACAGTGAACTTTTGGGATTTTTCCCCATTTTCCCAAAAAACTTGGAATCGAATGGAAAAACCGCAAGTGTCTATGACCACTCCTTAACCCAAATCATTTCTATGAGTCAGTCAGTCGGATTGGGGCTTTATAGGTTCTTGACTCGCGCTGCTCGCTGGGGGCTCCGCCCCCAGACCCCCGCATGTGTGGAGCGCGTGCCGAAGTATTTTCAGTAAGTCCGTGGTGACCAAAGGCAAATTTTCTAAGGAAGTAAATGTCCTGCTTCTTTGAAAGCTCTATTTAACCGCTTTTGACCATATAATAAGGCTACTTTTACTGCCCAAATAGATAGCTTGTATTGCATTGGCTACTGTGGCAGTCAATGGGTGCATACAAGGTCCGGAAAATATTGAAGACTGCTTTGACAAGGATAGAGGTGAAAGGAAAAAAACCTTAGGTCTCTACGACCACTCCTTGACCCCAAACATTTCTTTGAGTGAGTGAGTCAGTCGGTCGGATTGGGGCTATATAGATTCTTGATGATAATTGCCCAATTGCCGGCGGCGGGGTCCTGATTACGGCACAGTTTCGGAAATTCTCGACCAGACCTACCGATGGGGCGAATAAAAATTTTTAGTCATTCGGTCCCCTTTTTTGAAGATTGAGTAGGTTTGCTCGGAAACAGTGAGAAATTTTCAACTTTTGAGATTTTTCTCAATTTTTCCATTAAATTTGGAATCGAATGGAAAAACCCGCAGGTCTCTACGACCACTCCTTGACCCCAAACATTTCTATGAGTGAGTGAGTGAGTCAGTCAGTGAGTCAGTCGGATTGGGGCTATATAGGTTCTTGATTGATGATTTTGAGGACGTTGCCGGTGGCGGGGACCCGATTGCGGCATAGTTTCGGAAATGTCTCGACTTGACCTATCGAAAGGTCGAAAAATTTTTTTCAGTCGGTCGGTCCCCATTTTTGAAGATTGAGTGGATTTTGTTGAATTTAGGCTTATTTAATTGTTTTCAGGATGTTGCCGGTGGCGGGGACCCGATTGCGGCACAGTTTCGGAAATGTCTCGACCAGACCTACCGATGGGGCGAATAAAAATTTTTAGTCGGTCGGTCCCCTTTTTTGAAGATTGAGTGGATTTTGATGAATTTAGACCTATTTAATCGCTTTGAGGATGTTGCCGGTGACGGGGACCCGATTGCGGCAAACTTTCGGAAATGTTTCGACCAGACCTACCGATAGGGCGAATAAAATTTTTTAGTCGGTCGGTCCCTTTTTTTGAAGATTGAGTGGATTTTGTTGAATTTAGGCCTATTTTATCGTTTTGAGGATGTTGCCGGTGACGGGGACCCGATTGCGGCATAGTTTCGGAAATGTCTCGACCAGACCTACCGATAGGGCGAATAAAAATTTTTAGTCGGTCGGTCCCCTTTTTTGAAGATAGAGTAGGTTTGCTCGGAAACGGTGAGGAATATAGTCCCCTTTTGTGAAGATAAAGTAGGTCTGCTCGGAAACGGTGAGGAATTTTCAACTTTTGGGATTTTTCCCAATTTTCCCATAAACTTTGGAATCGAATGGAAAAAACCGCAAGTCTCTACGACCACTCCTTGACCCCAAACATTTCTATGAGTCAGTCAGTGAGTCAGTCAGCTTGGGGCTAAATAGGTTCTTGATACAACAAACTAATGTACTTTGTTATACGAAGAAATAGTTCGTAAATTACGAAGTATTTTCTTTGTAAGCTTGTGTATGCTCTAAATACTTTGTTATAGAAACTACTTTTCTTTGTAAGACCCAAAATAGTTTGTAAGGTTTTCTCAGTGTAATTAATCGGCCAGGCTTACCTTGAAATGCCACGGCGTGTCGCCCTCTGAGGCACACGTGATGCGTAGGTCTTGCAGCGTGGCGGCGTGCGCCTTGGCCAGCGACAGCACCGTGGACAGGGGACGCAGGGCCACCCACAGCCAGCGCAGGCCGCAGTGGCCCGGCGGCAGCGGAGGGAAAGCCACGTCCAGCGGGTCTTCGCACCAGTCGAGGGCCAGCTTGCGCAGCCTGGGCATGCGCTGGATGTGCTGCAGGTGCTCCGCGTGGACGTTCTTCAAGTCCAGGCCTTCCAACTGCAGCGGCAGTTCCGGAACGGCGGAGTCGTCCGGAAGGAAGGATAGTTCCAGGTGGCGCAGCGCGGGCATGAGCCGAATGGCTTCCAAGTGCTTCGGGAGGCATGCCACTGGACAGAACTGCAGCGCAATCTGTAGTCGCTCAACGTGCGCGCGGGAACGGTGCAGCAGTAGCAGTTCCTTCCCCCCATAGGACTCGCCCAGCCCAACGAGCTGCCTGACCTGCAACACAAGAAAACGACATCGACGCTCGCCTCGTACTGTAGCATTCAACGGATGAATATTCTGCAGGGAACTGCGTTAAAGGCCGCATGAACTGAACGCGTTACCGTTAATGGTTTCAGAGGAAACGTAACGCGTCAACGTGAAGTAAACGTGGTAACTCGCGTTACCGTTATTTTGTGAAAAAATACAGAAAAGCACATTATGTAAAAGTAAAAGGACACAATATTTGTTGAAAATCAATACTGGACAAAATTTGTGAGCGTCTTTGCAAGAGGCAAATTTTTTTAAAGGTCTAAGCCACGTAACGCTTAAAGCTTGTAAAGACCGGCCAAATCGTAATATGTGAGGTTAACGCGTGACACGTTACTCACGTTACCCGTTAACCCAGTCATTTGCTTAACGCGTTGACGTTAATTAACGAATAACGGGTAACCGGCAACGCCGGTACCCAATGAAGTAACGTTAACAACCCTGGTCGGGGCAGAGTAAGCCGAATCCAGCTGAATCTGTGTTCATCCGCGAGGACCAGAGGGACTATGGGACCTAATTTTGCAATGGTAATTGTGAAAAAACTACTCAAACGTTAGCAGTTTGAGGTGAGGTGTGGGTGAAAATGGAAACTTCTATGCCACTTGGCAGTGGTGGTTGAAACTTTAGGGCGTTTAAGTACTAGGTAGGAAACTATTAAGGGAAAGTGGGATAGTTCCGGACACTTTGATTTTCACTGGGTTTGAGTGAAGATAGCTCAAAAGCCCGCCTAACAGAGGAAGATAATCAGTTAAAAATGATAATTCCAAATCGCCAAGGTACTCTAGAAACTGAAGAGAGTGCATGGCATGCTTTTCCTAGGAGTCAACCACAAAGCCGACTCTTCCCAAGAGCATGCTTGCAAGCCGACTCTTCCCAGGAGCATGCTTGCAAGCCGACTCTTCCCAGGAGCATGCTTGCAAGCCGACTCTTCCCGGGAGCATGCTTGGCAAGCAAGGAGAGTGCTTGCGATCATGCTCCTGGGAAGAGTGTGCTTGCCAAGCATGCTCCTGGGAAGAGTCGGCTTGCAAGCATGCTCCTGGGAAGAGTCGGCATGCAAGCATGCTCTTGGGAAGAGTCGGCTTTGTGGTTGACTCCTAGGAAAAGCATGCCATGCACTCTCTTCAGTTTCTAGAGTAGGAGATCAAACCGTTTGGCTGTGGTCGCTTCACGAAATTTGAGTACCACCAAAAATACGCAAAAGCTGCATCTTTACCTCGCATTCCCATGTACTTATCGTACCTTACCGTAAAGTTAAGTCCCATGACTAAAATTTTGTCATATTGAATGGTCTTTGGACTTAACTTTGGCGTTTCGGGAGTGCTCGTATGGCTCGCCGTTTTCTTACAATTGAACATCGAAGGTTTTCACTACATGTGGGGAAATCCGGACAAGTAGTGTCGTTTTCTTCAATTTCCCGCTTAATGTTAAGGTAGTGGGTTCAAAATTGTGGACATGCATCCCCACCGTTAAGAAGGATAAAGAACAAACGAAAAATAGCATTGCAGCGATGTTTAGGGCTATACTCAAGGCAGTGTAGTCAATTTAGGGGTTTTAGTAGAAAATATTCCTTATAATAGGCTTTGAGTAATAATCAAACACTTTAGTTTACAGCAAATGTCCTTGTACGCCTTCTAAAAGCATGCCCTACATCAAAACAAGCGAGAGTAAGCTCGAGTGGTGTCAAATTTTGAGGTCGTCCGGAATTGCCCCATAGGTCGTCCGGAATTACCCCAGCCTGGGGTAATTCCGGACACGTGCAGGGCTTTAGGTAGGCCCCTATATCTCCCTTACCGTTGATGAGATTTGGCTTTCATGTATATATATCATTTTGAAGGTAAAGGTCCATACTTTACTCTCCTGTAATAACATTTGACCCAAGAAGCATATTCAAGCTCAAAGAGCAAAAAGAAAAAAAGCGTCCGGAATTACCCCACTCTCCCTTACACACCATATTTCATCCAAATCACCTACCCATTTAGCCACAGTAGGACTTCTTCATTAAAATAAAGCGTTTAGTAGAAAAATCAGCCACGCAAAGTTTTTTGACGGAATGATCTGAAATTTGTTTTGGAGTTACCTAAACCTCTATACCTCAATGTAACAGAGATATTTGAATTTTATTTTTTTGTTTTGACTGAGCAAACTTCACTATTTTTAATTGGAAAATAATAAGTTTTTTTTCTCCATTCTTTACCACTTTAAGTTAAACGATTTAAGAAAGTGGATAGATATTTGAAATACCTCTCTCTTACATTGTTACATTTACCACAAAGAACTACTCCAAGAAATATGGTCAGTATAAAACAAAACTGTATGCGTGGCTAGTTGACCTAACCAGGACCTGAATAATAGAGCTCCACTCCATTCTAGAAACGGTTGAGATGGACCATTATAAAGGAACAATGCGTCGTTTCTTTTGAGATCGGCGAAAACCGGGACATTTATAGCAGGGATCCTTAACTTACCTCATAAGGGCATCATAACGTTATCGTAAGAGTTAAAGTTATAAACCTTAACTTTTGACATCTTTTCAAAAAGGGTAAGTTATTTTTTGGTGTTTTGAATTTGTGTAGAGATACTTTTGGAAGTACTTCCAAAAGTCCGTACCCTTAACCTTTAGCGAACATTGTCTTATGTTACGTTATGAAAGCAGTGTTAGTTAAATGTTAAGTTCAGTTAAGGATCTCTGATTTATAGGCTTAGAGAAAGAATTGGTTGGAGTCCCGGCGGTTGTAAAAATCCATATATTTATTGCCCCCCCTTGGCGGCATCCGAAAAGTGCTCGACCCGGAGACGGCCAGGGGGGATGAAGCGGGGAGGGTCGGGGGCCCGGAACAGCCATGTGCTGCCCGGTGGCAGGTTAGAGCCAAGCAGCCGAGCCTATTCCTGGCCTGACCCGGGAGCCGGAGCCGAGCCGACGGCACCGCCGGCACCATGGAGACACACTATCTGGGGGAGTGGAGCCTGGCCCTAGCCCAGCGGTTCCCAACCTTTTTCGGTTCGCAACCCCAAATTTGTAACAAAAAATTTCCGCGACCCCCTGGAAAAATTTTGCGACCCCACGCCACCCCTCCTTTAGCATGCCTTTGATACAAGGTGCGATAATCCACCTTAGTTTGGGAGCAGTATTGCCGCAAAGTTGATCAAAACGGTCACAAATGTCTTAGAAAAATCGTGTTTTGGGCCGACTTTAAGCAGCCACTGCGTCTGATCCGAGGCGGTATTTCGTCCTCCCTCAACAGGCATTTGGTCTTTGGACCTTCCTTTAACATGCCTTTGTAACGGAGTGCGATTATCGGCCTTAGTTTGGGAGCAGTATTGTCTGAAAGTTGATGAAAACAGTAAAAAGTGCCTTTGAATGTCATTTTGATCCACTTTGAGACAATACTGCTCCCAAACCAAGGCCGATAATCGCCGAGGGGGAAATCACTCCTAAAACCTGCGACCCGACTATTACGCCTACAACGCTCTATTACGCCTCAAAATATAGCGATTTTGCTAAAAACAGACCAAAAAAACCCTAAAGTAGATCAAATTTTGAGAATTTCAGCTATTACGCTACTATTACGCACACTATTACGCGTGCTATTACGGACAGAGTGACCCGACTATTACGCGAGTGCTTTCCCCCTCGATAATCGCACTCCGTAACAAAGGCATGCTAAAGGAAGGTCCAAAGACCAAATGCCCGCTGAGGAAGGACGAAATACCGCCTCGGATCAGACGCAGTTGCTGCTTAAAGTCGGCCTAAAACACGAGTTTTCAAAGGCATTTCCGACCGCCAGCCGGGAAACAACCGCGACCCCAGGCGACCCCAACCACCTCGTCGCGACCCTAAGGTTGGGAACCGCTGCCCTAGCCGTGTCCCGATGTCCCTCCCGAGCTCAGTACCGCCGTGTCTTGCGGCGCACGGATGCGTCTTCTCCAACTGCACTGCCACCCGTAGTGTTTTTACAACATGACAAAATTATATCTTCGCCGAGCAAAACGTCATGGTAGTTGCGGCATATATGAAGGATATAATTTTCCGAAGTAGTTTTGTCAAAATATTACAACGTTCCTGAGCGTGTTGAACCGTTTCAGCCAGTGAAAATGGTTTCATAGGTTGGTACGACGGCTGGCTGCTGGCTGCCGGCAACCCCCACCCCGCCACCTATGCACTGGAAGGGGCAGCAGGGCAGGCAGGCGGGCAGGCCCGCGCCGCCACGCCACGCGGACTCGGGAGGGACATCGAGACTCAGGGTACCCCTCGAAAGACGTTCAATTTAAGCGCTTTAGAGGTGACAGACGTCAAAAGTCATTATATCCTGTCAAAAAATGCTTCTTTCCCTACCGTATGGCGTGTCTCTCATAAGAATTGATCCAGCCAGAGGGTTACAGTAGCGGATGGAAAAAGACCCTACGATCAGACACTTGCCCGCTCCTGCGCAGCACCGTCGCTATCGCTTTCTCTCTTCCCGCATCTTCCGTCGCACTCGATTCGGGAGGGACATCGGCACACACGGTACCCCTCGAAAGACATTCAATTTAAGCGCTTTGCGGGTGACGAAAGTCAAAAGTAATGATATCCCGTACAAATATGGTTCTTTCCTTATCGTATGGCGTGTCTCTCATCAGAATTGACCCAACCAGACGGCTACAGTAGTGGACGGAAAATGACCCTGTATTTCCAACCTCCACTCCCCCAGATAGTATGTCTCCATGCCGGCACCTTGTGGCGAGCCGAGGCACTCTCGGCACTCTGGCCCCCGACTCTCCCCGCTCCATCCCCCCTGGCCGTCTCCGGATCGAGCAGCTTCGGATGCCGCCGGAGAGGGCAATAAAGCCAACGGTCGGAAAGTATGGGAAGATAGGCTGGCCGGGACTTTAACCAATTCTTTCTCTAGGTTTATAGGCTATGTTGACCGCACGGAACGATACGACTCCGCCAGCACAGGTAAATTTATCCGTAATACAGGCTATTAATAGCACAATATTTTTTGTGTTGCGGAAATTTTCCGCCTCCAAGAGGTCTAGATTTGGAAACGAGGACGAGAGCCCGAGTGATTCGAAGTTTTTGAAGGACTTCATGAGGGGATGTTTCCTGTCGAATAGAACGAAATATGTAGAATTCAACAAAAGTAAATCCCAACATTTTTTTAGCAGATGATACCTTTACTTAAAAACATACCTTAAACTACAACTACAAGACATATAAAGGTGTCAGCTAGCTTTTACTCGAGAGTCCAAAAACCAAGTGCGTTTCCCAACAAATGCGGGCTGGCTGCCGGGGTGGGATGGTGAGTCTGGCTGGCTGGCTGTGCCTGGCTGCGCCGCAGCCTGCGCGGAATTCGACAATGGCACCCCCTTCTGGCGCGCGACGGCCGCCGGGCCTGCGCGCAACATTGACAATCCCTCCTTGCTACAGCGCAGATGCACCGCGTGCTCGCAATCCAACGGGCACGGCGCGGCGGCGGTGCAGGCCACGGCACAAAGGACTCAGTTTTTAGCAGATGATACCTTTGCTTTAAAACATACACCTAAAACTATTAAATACTATCTTTGGAATGAGCCCATACTACCCCGTAGAAGAAAACAAAACGAGTATCATCTGCTTTCATTAACGTTCGTTAAATGAGATTTTTTAGCTGAAATATGTCACAAAACCACTGCTTATGATAATGTTTGAGGAGATAGACGACTATAGTTGGTATAAAATCCGATTTGGCTAAATTAATGTTTCCCTGAGATTCCTTGTTAACCATACAAATAGTTACTTATTAACAATGAATTTTAAAGCTGAGACTTAATTGGAGGAAATTAAGATTTTCAGCGGAAACTCCCATTCAGACTGGAATAGAAATGCCTGAATACAGATGGGAATGAAGGCAAATCTCACCTTGTTAAAGTCGGGCGAGTCCAGCACATGGTCCATTTTCTGTTTGTAGTCGACTGGGCTAAGCTGAGTGAAATCGAGACACTCATCGGGACTGAAGGTGACCTCCGCTTGAGTGCCATCAAGCTTCTTCACCTGAAAATACGGAAAACAGCTGAAACAACGGCGGGAACAAAAGCTAGCACTGAGCTAATTTATTTGATACGTGCAACGCCTTCCCATGACCCCTTTCGATTTTGCCCAAATTTTGTTTTTAGGATGCCTTTATGGTAAGAAAAAACCAAAAAACATCCTAAAATATTAGGTCGCTAAAAAATTTATTGGCCAATCCGAAGTTTCAATCCATCTTCAGACTAAAACGGTCGCCCTCGGGAAGCTTCGGATTCTGTAGGCTGCCCCCTTCCTTCTCTCTTTTTCCTACATGGTCTAAACCCGTCGCCCGCGACCCTTCCACCTCTCCCCAACACTGGATATATTGTGAGTTGTTTCAGATGGATTTCGAGCTTTTGGTCGGAAGCTGTCACCATTTAGGAAGCTCTAGATAGAAGGGCTTCGGAATCCGTCACGTGTTTTTTTCTTACTCGAGCCTCGAGTGTAACTTTCTTACCCAACCTACCCCTACCTTAATGACTGCAAAATCTCAGCGAGATCGGCCGAGCCGTTCAGGAGTAGTAGCGCGGACACACTAGGGTGGTCCAAAAAAAAATGGAGTTGCTCGGATCGTCCAACGCCGCCCGGATTATGATTCTACATCGAAAAAAATGAAATACGTGTTTTTTCCCTTGTCGAAAAAATGATGTTTAGGACCTCCTCAAAGCTCTCAAAGTTTTTAACAGTGCTATTAATAGGAAAAAATCGTAACTTGGTCATTTTTTGACCGGTTTTCAAAAACGAAACGGGGATTTGTTCGTTATTGAATGCTCATGACGAAAAAAAATATGCCCAATCTTCTTTTTGGTTTGCCTAACTTTCAGGGGCAAAAAATGACGAAATTTCGGCCCAAATTGGCAAGAGTTTCAGTTTGTTGGCCGCTACAGCCACTCTAAGTCCACCCTGTCAGCATGGCGGGGTGCCCCCACCACAAGGCAAGCCCCATGAACAGAAATGAGATGCCGAGTGTGATTTGCATACCTCACAGGGGCATCAAATTGTGGATTTTTTCGAAAATCTATCAATAGTGATGTCTCTTGGGGCCACTGGGCACTCAAATGGGCACCCTTTCACCCGGTTCGGTACCCGCACTCCGTGATATGAACATACAATGGGAATGGACTGCTGAGCACCTCATGCCTACCTCTCAGGACCAGAAAAACGTGAAAATTTAGAAAATTCCTTCATTTTGATGGCTTTTCTTGTGGCCTTGCGTGGTTGCGGTTCCTCGCGTCAGCAACGTCCATTCCTATTGTTTGTTCATATAACGTAGTGCGGGTACCGAACCGGGTGAAAGGGTGCCCATCTGAGTGCCCAGAGGCCCCAAGAGACACTACTATTGATAGATTTTCGAAAAAATCCCCAATTTGATGCCCCTGTGAGGTAGGCAAACTGCACTCGACATCCCAATTCTGTTCAATGGGCTTGCCTCGTGGTCGAGGCGACCCGCCATGCTGACAGGGTGGACTTGGAGTGGCTGTAGCAGCCTACAAACTGAAACTCTTGCCAATTTGGGCCGAAATTTCGTCATTTTTTGCCCCTGAAAGTTAGGCAAACCAAAAAGAGGATTGGGCATATTTTTTTTCGTCATAAGGATTCAAAAACGAACAAATCCCGTTTCGTTTTTAAAAATCGGTCAAAAAATGACCAAGTTACGATTTTTTCCTATTAATGGCACTGTTAAAAACTTTGAGGAATTTGAGGAGGTCCTAAAAATCATTTTTTCGAAACAGGAAAGAACACGTACTTCATTTTTTTCGATGTAGAATCCAAATCCGGGCGGCGTTGGACGATCCGAGCAACTTCATTTTTTTTTGGACCACCCTAGAACACACACACACACACACACACACACACACACACAGAAAAAACTTTTGAACCCCACCTGAGTACCGTAAACCGGGGTAACTTGAGACAATATTTCACGTTTTTTGGACCCTGTGCCCACAACACTTCTCTCACCAACCCGAATCCCAACTATGTTTAATTTCCAATGATAACAATCGGTTTGGACCCCATGAATTTTTTTGGGGTCACTTAAAATGGGAGTAATGGGCCTCTAAAGTTATCTCAAGTTACCCCGTCATTTGGGGTAACTTGAGACACACCTAGGTTTTACTTTGCTCATTGGAAGTGAGGGTTTTGCCAGTCCATACTGATTTTCTGAGACATTTAACTTATTTTCAATGAAAAGTTCTACTTGTGGAATTTTCTGAGACATTTAACTTATTTTCAATGAAAAGTTCTACTTGTGGAATATATTAGAAGATTTTGTATCCTTATATTAAGATTTTTTTCATCAAAGTTACATTTGGTAATTTGAGGGATAACGGCACTTACGAAGCGCAACGATTCTCCCATTTCACATCCAACTCTGTCAACTAAAGTACAGCGATTCTCTCATTTCACATCCAACTCTGTCAACTACAGTACAGGGTTCTCTCATTTCACATCCAACCCTGACACCTGCTAAGACATTTTTCTTTATTTCTACATACACAAGTCCATCCTGCAAAGGTATATAGTGTCAGTCAATTTTTTAAAATTTACTCATCAAAATCCTGTAACTACTTTTACAGTTGTTTTTCTTCAAAAAATCGACGGTTTTTGGGATAGCACTCGTCCGATTTCACGAAAGATAATTAAATTCCCCAACTTTTGAGACTTCAAGATTTACTATGTCTCATCTAGTCCGTGTGTAGTTGAGAAAACACTCCAACTTCAAGCTGCATATCAACTTGGGACCCCCTACACTGTCTAAAAAAGTGATTCCCGATCAAATGCGGCTTGGCTTTGATCTTCGAGCGCGGAGAGGTCCGTTACTTTATACCACCCTGTAAGGGAAGGTGGGGACCCATGTATCACTTTTTTTTGTTTTGAGTGTCAAAATTTTGGTTTTGGGCATAAAGCAAATGTTTTGGGTCAGAAGCATGAGTTTATCTTCCTTCTACAAGGGCCAATTGAATTTGTTCATGTATCTCATCTGGTTTTGGATAGGAGCGCAATCTACTGAAATCATGTATTTGATACATCGGACCCCATACCTGGGGTCCCATGTATCATCCATGGGGACCCATGTATCACAGCTATTTTCTTCAAAAATAACTTCAATAAAAGGACAAATTATGCAACATTTCCTTGCCGCATTAATTTCTACAATATGTTTATAAGTTTGACCGAGTTTGACCATTCCTAAGGTAAGTTGAGGTCAAAGAGAGAAGGTGAAGATTCATGTATCACAAGTGGGGACCCATGTATCACAGGTGGGGACTCATGTATCACTTTTTTTTTTTGGTGTTTGTTTAATGGCAAAATGTAACTAGACTGTAACACCTGTCGCCTGTCACTCTATTATAATATTGTAATGATTACAGCACAGGCATTAAAATAGGAAAATGTCCGTGATTAATTGCCCCCCAACATGAAATTTGAGTGATACATGGGACCCCAAAAAATGTGATACATCGGTCCCCACTTGTCGGAGCATTGAACATTGCGGTGTATAGCCAGAACCTATGCTCGGATGTTGCTGTTCGGCACTGCTATTTGTTGTCAAAGCCCTTCCGCACACTCCCACATCAAAAAATTGCGACAATGTTCCATAGCAGGAAGCTAATGAAAGATATTTGAAGAAATTTTTTTTTTACTTTCCCTCAGTTTTGGGGACCAAAATTTTCACTTAGTCACGCCGCCATGTCTGTTGGAGATGCCAGGTCGCATCCTTCCATAAAATGAAGCTCTCTAGATGGTGTTTCGATTCCGCAACACGTGACTCGCCTCGCGGCCGAAACTGAAATTTAATACGCCGTGATACATGGGACCCCGTGATACATGGGTCCCCACCTTCCCTTAGTACAAGGAGGTGCCAGTGTCCACGCCACTCAACTTCCGTCAAATTCAATGAAATTTGGTGTCTCAAGTTACCCCGCACAGATACCATTTACTATAACAGTCAGTATACTACCAGATGAATGATGGGTTTCCCTCAAAACCAATGCTACATTTAGAATGTTGAAATAATAGGGTTGAAAGACACTAGTCATTTGGGTCTCAACGGTCCCAACCCGCCGTTCAAACGCTAAATCGTCTTTCCAAACAAGTATGAATAAAAGAGCTACGGCAGTTTTGCCCTCCGAATGTGCCGAGTCAGGTGGCAGTAGGGATTTAAAGCCTAATAAACTTACCGGTAAGAATGGGTAAATTACCTGTAATTTACGGTAATTTACCCTGCGAAAATCGGTAAATTACGGTAATTTTCGACTTAACCTAACCTTTCTGGTGTTTTTACAGCAGAAATTTACTCAGAGTGCACAAAAATATGAAAATTTGACAATAAAAGTGTCTTAACCACTTTCATAAGCCTTTTAAAACACTCCGCTTGTCTTAAATTCCCTTTGAAATTAGATTATTAATAGTTCCTTTGCAAAAGCGCACATAAACATTAGATCGAATTTTACCGTTATTTACCGTAAATGACGGTAAATTACCAATGTTACCGTAATTTACCGTCCAGATTGAAAATTACCGGTTATTTTAAATCCCTAGGTGGCAGCTCCAAAAAGGTGGAAAAGCAGAAGTGTCTCAAGTTACCCCGGTTTACGGTACGACTAACAAAGGTTAAATTTCATTGTGAGACATTTAGAGGGCATACGAATCCGGAGTGTACCTCACTTAGGTCATCTTCCCGGCTGAAGGACTTGAGCAAGTCGAAGAGCAATACCCCTCGGCGCACAGCGTCCTGCAGCAGGTGACTGGCACACTGTGGGCCGGCACCACTCTGTGGCTCGACCTCCACACACAGCCCTTGCAGAAGGCTTGACAATTCTCGCAGCAGTTGAGCCCTGGAAAAATCAAGGCGTAAAGGTTACGCTTTACACTGGTAAAAAACTTAGGCGTAGTATTACCCCGGTACAATGCTTTTTATGGGAAATGTCGAGCCAAAAACCGGTATGACAGGAAATTCACATGGGGCATCCACGCTACATGACATGCCGTTTTACGGCGTGAATTTCCTGTCACACAATAAAAAATCTACGAAGAATCGCTTTGTAATACAAAGAAAATGTAGGCATTGTAAAATCTACGAAGAAATGCTTCGTACTATGAAGCAAAATCCTTTGTAATACGAATCATTTCTTCATGATACTAAGCAATTCTACAATGCCTTTACTTTCTTATGACGCAAATGCTTCGTACACTCTCAGCACGCGCGTGTTAAAAATAAATGAAATTTAATGACACTTGTGACATTATTTTTCATTAAACGTCATTATTTTTAATTACTTCTCCACATTCATTAAATTTCATTACCGTCGAGTCCCCTAAAGTGGGACGATTTTTACGGAAAATCGTCTGTTATTCACAGAATAACGATGACACCGAAAATCGCCGGGGATTTAAGAATCTTCATGTCAAAACACGTCTTTTACCGAAAACAAAATTTTTTTTCAGCCCATGGGGCTCTAGTAGGAGCAGCAAGAACCGTGTCCCAATTTAGGAGCCAAAGTCTCCTAAAGTGGGACAAAGTCCCCTAAAGTGGGACACGTTCATTCGTTTTCGCCCAAAAACTGCAGTAGCAAAAAATTTCTTAAAATGTATTATGTCCTAAATTAAATTTGAAGCAAGATTGGTTCTGAAGTCTTTTTCGATATCTCGACTGGTTAAGCTGATATGAGCCTCTTCAATCAATTAGGTTTCCTTAGATATATTTAAATTAGAAACAGCCGTAGCGCCTAAACCAATTGAAATACGGCGAAAACCAATAAAACAAAATGGTCTTAAAATTTAATTTCTGACCAAAACCATTTCATGAAATTTTTTGCTCAGGTCATATTTTATAAGTTTCGAAATGCACGGCAAGAAATACATGTTGAAATTTTGAAAATTAAAAACCGTTCACCCGGCAACTTTGTTCTAAAAACATTTTTGTTCAAAATATGATTTTACGCAAGATTTGTCTTATGGTCGATAACGATATCTTTGTAGGTTAAGCCAAAAGAAAGCATTTGCTTTCAAACATTGACTAAATTTTGTGCTGACTTAAAGCGTACCGAATAACCGTACTTGCCCGACTGCCTGGACCTCCAAACCGACCTGGCAACCTAATATATACAAGGCAGCGTTTGTAGGACGCTGGAGGTGAATGTAACGCCTCTGAATCGGTCAAAACCTAAAAGAAACGAAGGAAATGCATGTGTCCCACTTTACAGCCCCTCAGAAGATTGCTTCCCACCGTAAAACGAAGCGTCGGAATCAAATTTTCTAAAGTGCATCTTGTAGATAAAAGAACGCGCTACAACATGTCTGAAGTCTAGAATGGTCCGAGCATCAACGGCTCGAAGCCCCGAATCCGCGCTAGACGTCTGAAAAAACTTCTCTTTTTTTCTGCATCAAATTCCAATTTTCAAGATTTTTTGGGGGAGGGGGTATGAGCGGGAACAAGACACTCTGTGCGGATATGGTCTTGAAGGGGTCCTACCGTCTCAAAAACATTTTTTACCTCGCAAAATATCCACGCGTTAGCCGTTTACGGCCTAAAATAGGGAAAATAGTCAAAATGTCCCACTTTAGGGTTCGTGTTCACATTTAGGGGACTTGACGGTACCTCGGTCATAAAGTTTAATGACATTAGCCATGTAATGAAAGTTTCACTACATTAGGCAGCTTGCCATAAAATTTTTATCACATGTCATTAAATTTTTCAAAAATATTTAAGCATGACTGAATTTTTTTGGAGGATCTAAGCTAAGCTTACTCAAACTAATTTAGCCTTCTTTTGGCCGCCAACATCAATTTTCCTCGTACAATCGCCCATTGCGGCGTCATATGCCAAATCTGTCATTCGCAAGTCCGCCGCTAAGTGTCGCATGGTACACGGGGATCACTCTCAACTCTGTATTTTGTATTAAAATATTAAAACGCGAGGAGATATTCTGCAATGTATCCGTGTTTCATGTGAAATGGTGGATTGTTTAACTAACGGCGAAGAGTTTGGGGGAAAAGAGCGATATTTGAAGTGACTAAATAGGTTTTCCTGATGTTGCTCGAGGGCGTCTACGGGCTGCCGTTTGGTAGGGTCAGCACCCGATCTCCCTTAACCAGGCAACTTCACTGCCTCAGACCTGAGTCGCCCTGGGTCACCCAATTTTTGCCTCTTCTCTGCTGTCAGAGTCATTGTGAATCCACTCCAACCTATGTCAAATCGAATCGAAAAGTTGCGTAATTTGCGTCAACTTTGATCATTTTCATTACGTTTTTGTCATTAAAATTTTCATTACATTCGTTCATTACACTGTAATGAAAATTTTAATAACATATGTGTAGTGAAAACTTAAATTACATTGTAATGATTATAGCTTCACTACCATGTAATGAGAATGTAATTAAATTTTTTAACAGTAGCGTTATTGACTTTTGGATCATTTTTTCAGTACTTACACAGGTAATTTGTACAATCATAATACGTAATTTTCCTTTTTTAAAGAACTTCTCTGGAAATATTAAATAATGTACTGAGAATTTTGTTTTGTACATAATTTTACAAAGGAAATTAGTCGTACTTACTATACAAATTGAAGAGCGTACATTGTATGCTCTAACTGGAGCATGCCTGCAAGCACGCTCAAACTAGCGCATGCCTGCCAAGCACTTACTAGTGCATACATGCCATGTACAAGCTTTCTGATGCAGGCAACTCCCTATCCCTTATGCACTACATGCATGCTCCAGTTAGCGTGTACATGGCACGTATGCACTAGTACGTGCATGCTAGGGAGGCATGCTCCAGTTAGAGCATACAATGTACGCTCTTCAATTTCTACAGTACTTGGAAAATACTAAGTATTACTGCCGTTCATACGAATACGTAATTAATGAGGAAAATGTCAGTAGCGTGCTGAGAGTGAGGCTTTTAAGAGTGCACGCCACTATTTGGCCATTTGTCCAATTTCAGTGAAAGCCTAATAGGAAAGGAGTTCTACAATGAAGAGTGCAGAGGTTCAAGCCTCGGACTTACCATTGAGCCTGCGGGAACTCGACATCGACGTTCCGATCGTCGTCGACTCCCGCCGCCGCCTGCAGGGCCCTCTGCGCCGCTTCCACCTGCCGGAGCCCGGAGCGCCAGTCCTTGAGCAGGGCCTGCACCGCCCTCTCCGCGTCCTCGAACGACTTCACGGCACTCCACATGACGCTCGCACAGTCCGCCAGCCACTGCTGCTGTTCCGCCGCCCGCTCAGAGCGCATCTTTCGCAGAGAGCAGAGCACGTGACCCAGGTCCACGCACTGCTCGGAGGCAACTTTGCTGCAGTCGCGGCACCATAACAACAACCTACGTAACAACAACAAATCAGGATACTGCGTACCGTAAAAAAAATCGTAAAAAGCAGAACTACTCCCCCTGTCAACGAAAACCGGCATTTAATTGGCTGAGCGATAGCGAAGCCTGTTACTCCACACTCTACCAAAAATGTCCTGTAAATGCCGTTAATTTATTACCAGTTTTTACTGTAGGTCAGTTCACAGCGTTTACTGTGATCTGCTCACGGGATTCACTGTGATCTTGTTCACGGTGTTCACTGTGATCTGGTCCCCAGTAAACACTGTGAGTTTGACGCCACTGAGCACCGAAGTACTGCCAATCAGGCTCCAATTCACGGCGTTTATTGTGGCCAGATCACAGTGAACACTGTGACCGAGATCACAGTGAACGCCGTGAACTAGTTCACAGCAAACGCCGTGAATTGCATAACAGCAAACATTGGTAATAAATTAACGGCGTTGACAGGACATTTTTTGTAGAGTGCAGTGGGGTTGAAAAGTTTTTCCTGTCTGTGTGTCCGCACTACTCCTCCTGAACGGCTCGGCCGATCTCGGTGAGATTTTGCACTCTTTTTGGGTATGTCCTTGGCTCAGCACACGCGAAATTTCACTATCCTAGCTCAACAGGTTCAGTTGTTGTAGCCGAAAAACACCTAAAAAACGGCGAAAAATCGAGTTTTCTGCACACTGTCAGAAAACTCCGTAAAAATACGGAAATTTAACGGAGACTGTCCATTTTTTTAACGGAGATCTCCTTTTTTGGCCCGCCCTTCTGTTTTAAAAAATAGGGGGGGGGGCTATGCATTTGCCTTTGTGTCTGTGTGTTGTTGTCGTTGTCGTTGTTGGCGTCTGTGTACAAGGAAGGAGTTGAGCTAGAGTAACCAGATTTGGAGGGTACTTCAGGAGTACCGTCCAAACAAATAATCCGGTGGTGCAAATCCCGTCCGGGTCGCACAAGGGCTGCTGCAGGTGCATCTTGGTTTACATGAGCGGGAGGGGGATTTCCGCCATTATTGGTGCTAGCAGGGCACATAGGGGTATTTTTGGAATCGGGGCGACGAGACAAGATGAATGGACCTGGTCCCGACCCCATCGGCCGCTTTTACAAGTTGGCCAGATCAGGATCTGCAAAAAAGAGGGTCGACCGACTGAAAAAAATTTATTGCAGATTTCGATTGGTCTCAGCAAGACCTTTTCAACGAGGGGTCGGAAAGGGGGTCCAGGAGCCCGACTTCGTCTATTAGTCACATCAGGATCTTGAAAAAAGGGGGTCGACCGACTGAAAATTTTTACTTAAGTTTTAGATAGGTCTTGGCAAGACCTCTTCAACGAGGGGTCGGAAGGGGGGTCCAGGAGCCCGCCTTCATGAGTTATGGAAAAAAGTGCGACGGACTCGTTTTGCGCTCCTGCTGTGCCTCTTTTGCAAGGAGTTGCAGTAGCATGGCAAATATGGGTATTTTCGGAATGAGGGCTAAGAGACAAATGAAATGGGCATATTCTAAGGACAGTTGGAGTAAAGAGTGTAAGGACTTTTGCATATTGTGAATAGAAGGGCGGGCCTAAGTCACGATGGTACATCGATAACTTTGCTTTACCCGCTCACGGGGTGTGAAATGCGAGCGGGCCGAAGGCCCGGGCCTTCGACTGGCCAAGTTGGGTCTGATGCGAGGGCCGAAGGCCCGAGGAAAGGCCGCCGGCAGGCCAAGCTGGGCCGGCCCCCTGTCGAACCGAGTTGCCGGCGCAGCGAAGCGGAGCTGGCAACTCGGTTCGACGGAAGGGCGGGCCCTAGCTTGTTTTGAATTATGGATTTTCTCCGTAAAAATATGGAAGTTATGTATACAAATGAAATAGAAGCCTTACTTATCGAAAAGAACAGACTAATTCACGTTATCGATGGGTTGGCGGGTGACCAACTTATTAGATGTTCCAAGAGTACGCCTTCCCTAAAGCGACCTCGCCTTTGGGTTTCCGTCCATTTATCCAATCCTAATGGCATGTGGTCAAGTGGATCCTCAAACAGTTTTGGAGAATATCACTTTCGTCTAAAAGGTCACTGTTTGCATTAACATCGAAGGTGGAAGGAGGGAAGTAAACCGTTAAAATGCGTTTATTTCTGCAAAAATGGGGTTATCTCCGTAAAAATACGGAAAATCTCCGTAAAAATATGGAAAATTTACGGAGTCTCCATTCCCAAAATTAGAGTAACTTTCTCCGTAAATTTACGGACTTTTTTTCGGACAGTGCAGGCAGATCACCTCTGTATTGAAGGAAGGGGGGTCTGGGGGGTCTTGGGGGCTCTGCCCCCCGGCCTCGACAAGTGAAACAGTCACAAGGGTCAAGATCGTGTTATCTGTAGATGAAACAAGTCTATCTAGCAGCATGCAACAAGGTGGAAGTAACCGACGGTGGATAAGCCATGGCTTGCCGAAGACAGGCTAGCGCCACAGGCCAAGGTAGGTACACCAGGCGCGGATTGGAGGAACAGGCAGCGAGACATCGCGAAGCCTGTTACGACAAGACGCGGTCTGGCGTAAACCTACCTTGTTATCACACGCTTAAAACGTTACGAAGTATTTTGAGTATGCAAAGAACAATCTAATTTACTTTGTTATACGAAGAAAAAGTTCGTGCACTTACTCAGTATTTTATTTGTCAGCTTATGTGAGCTCAACATAACACTGGGTGCCCTAAAATTGTACTGAGAATGAAAGAGTCACCACCATCGCCCTTCATTTGGGTAACGCACGCACCGTTGCCCAAATTTGGGTGACGAGCCCGCGGTGACCAAATTTTGGGCAGTCATAAAATCGTCGCCCAAATTTGGGTAACGCCGTCGGCGACGCCGTGAGGTCCCCGTTGACGCTCTTCCGGGGCCACCACGATGATCCAATGGGGCGTTGAGGCCTCCGGTCATCGTGGGGTAATTCTTTCCCAAGTCACCCGAGGTCCCGAAATCGATGTCTCCGATTTCGACGAAACTTTGTGGGTGTGTTCCCTATGTAGCAAAGAGCTCCAGAAAAAATTTTCAACTTTTTTGGTCGGCCCAAAAAATTTTAATCACGTATTTTGTAAAAAACACTGAAACCTGCACTAAAAATTTGTTTGTTGCCTGAGGGCGACCTGCCCGGTGGATTTTTTTTCTTTTCATGGTACTGAAAAAAAAAGTCCCCGAGAGCCACTTTAAAAGTCACTTGTTCCAGGAGATATGGACCAAAAAATTCGTTTTTCGCGAATACCCAAAAAATGCATCCGAATTTTTTGATGATAATTTTTTTTTAGGAAGGTCCTGTGGTGGTCTATCACCCTTATTGGTTTTGGATTTGGCCAATGGAAAACCGAATAAAAATTGCGTTTTTTCCGTTTTTTTCGCAGTTTTTGGCCCATAGTATCGCCATTTTAAGTCTGACTTAATGAGCGCCATTAGACTTTTTTTTCACCTTTTCAAGACGAATCGATTGATATAAGTTGAAGTCAAATCGGAGTATTCTGAAAAATCGCCTTTTTTACGATCGGGATCCAACTAATCTAGATGCGTAAAAAAGGCGATTTTTCAAAATACTCCGATTTGACTTCAACTTATATCAACCGATTCGTCTTGAAAAGGCGAAAAAAAGTCTAATGGCGCTCATTAAGTCAGACTTAAAATGGCGATACTATGGGCCAAAAACTGCGAAAAAAACGGAAAAAACGCAATTTTTATTCGGTTTTCCATTGGCCAAACCCAAAACCAATAAGGGTGATAGACCACCACAGGACCTTCCTAAAAAAAAATTATCATCAAAAAATTCGGATGCATTTTTTGGGTATTCGCGAAAAACGAATTTTTTGGTCCATATCTCCTGGAACAAGTGACTTTTAAAGTGGCTCTCGGGGACTTTTTTTTCAGTACCATGAAAAGAAAAAAAATCCACCGGGCAGGTCACCCTCAGGCAACAAACAAATTTTTAGTGCAGGTTTCAGTGTTTTTTACAAAATACGTGATTAAAATTTTTTGGGCCGGCCAAAAAAGTTGAAAATTTTTTCTGGAGCTCTTTGCTACATAGGGAACACACCCACAAAGTTTCGTCGAAATCGGAGACATCGATTTCGGGACCTCGGGTGACTAGGGAAAGAATTACCCCGTGGTGGCCCCGGAAGGACGTCATCGCGAACCTCACGGCGTCGCCGACGGCGTTACCCAAATTTGGGCGACCAAACGCCTGTTACCAAATTTTGGGTGATGAATTTTTCGTCACCAAAATTTGGGTAACGAAGTTGCATCACCCATTTAAAGGGTGATGGTGGTGACCAATTCATTCTCAGTGTGTTCGTTAGGTTGTCAGAGTGTTACATTTTAGCCCCTTTAAGCTCGTCGAAATGTGACCCAACGAACTGACATTCCGTCCACTTGAACGAGTGTCCAATTCTGCCCGCTACAGCCAATTGATGCAATCCATTATTATTGAACTCCAATTAAGACTGTGCTATGAATTTATGCCATTTATATCCCTTGTGATAACAATTGATATCCTTCAAGTGAAGCAAAATTTCCCTGCGAGTAAAAATGACACTTTTTTACTTGGCTGCACAAATTTTTGGACGCAAGAAAGTGGCATATGTACTAACTTGAAATTAATTTTCGTAAGAGTCTAACATATTCCTAGTTTTCCTAGTCCTAGACTTGTAACACTTCTCTAAAATTGTTAAATTTACTAAAATTGAAAATTCGTTATAGAACTGGCCAGCTTGGTCCTAACCCGCTGTTCAAACGCTTAATCGTCTTTCCCAACTCGTATGAAAAAAGTGCTAGGGCAGTTTTGACCTCCGAATGTGCCGAGCCAGGTGGCAGCTCCAACCAGGTGGAAAAGCAGAAGTGTCTTATAGGTTACCCTTGCTGTCTCAAGCTACCCCGGTTTACGGTAGGGGAAAGACGTATGCGCATTCAGTGTGACCCCTTGGGGAATGAAATTCCGTGATCATGTCTCTCAAATCTGGAGAAGAACTTTGAGCCAATTTTGGCCCAACTTTGACCACCTATTTGGACTGCAAGGAGTGTAGCCACGAACCTCGGAGGGGTCACACTGACTAGGCGCTCATTTTTACTGCAAGAATATGTGATTGGTTTTGATCCACGTATCGTACTTTTGACGGGTGAGCTGCACGAAGTTAGGACATTTCAGCTTTCAATAACTTTGTTCAAATTTGAAGTAAGGGAAGGTGGGGTACAATGTGACACGGCCACCATGTGACATTTGCTTTTTCTCCCAAACGGCTTGCTATCCAACAGCGGTAAGAAGACCCAAAGGAAAATATCATGAAGGAGAATCGACGTGCAAAAGGTCGCGACTCTCCTTCGAAAAGGACGGGAATGGTGGCGATCAGAATTGAAAACCGCCTTAAAATAGCTCATTGGAAACTTTTTCTATTTCCCGCCGTGTCCACTTTTCACCTTTAAAATACATTTTAAGGACATATGCTCTGCAAGATGTTCTTCTTTGATGTTTTAAGCGCAAAATAAGCTTTGGCTCGATTCTCTACGGCATAAACTTTGAGCGTTTTTGCTGTTTCCCCTAAAACTGTTGATCTGGGCACCATGTGACACTACTGTAATTCGCTATGGGATTCCACGATTCACTCAGTTGAATGTGTTCAGTCCATGACATTTATACACTGATAACTTAAACCTTCATTGCTCGGGAACCAAAGATGATAAACTGATAAACTCAACGAAAATATAAAGCTGGAAGACTTCTTTATTCATTCTTGGCGTATAGGTACGCTGAATAGGATTTAAACCCTGACAAAAGGCCAATGTGACATGGTGCAATAACGCTGTCACATAGTGTACTACGTGGGGTACGAAGTGACACTTTGACTTAGGCCCATTCAACTCGGGATAACTCAGCAACTAAAACAGATAAATTAGATATCTCAACAGAAATTATAAGGTGAAGAATCATTTTGTTCACATGCCTACCTATGGATGTAATGTAATTGGTATAATTGGGTTGATGGGCAATTAACAAAAACCGTCACATGGTACCCCACCTTCCCTTAGCGTCATAAAAATTAGTGAGGGGCATCATAACTGTGTTCCCAACATGTGTTCCAAGAGCCCGATCCGTCAACTTGAATTTAGGGAGGAAATTGCCTTAAGGACGTGTGGAGTTTGGAACTTCTTAAGTCCAACGAAAGCTCCCTTATGCCCTACCTCTGGTCCGCACACAGTTGTTGAATTTCTTCAATCAATTTCAGCACATAAAAGTTGTCCGGCAGCGACTCTACCGGCCCAGCGAATACCTGAGAACAGGATATATGAATGAATGTTAATTGATCCAGGAAGCGGAAGAAGGGGGTAAGTCGAGTTGAATCCGTGCACTTTTGCAAGGCCTAAACCTTGCAGGTGGAAGAACAGGTGGGGAATGTCATCTAAAAGTAGATGCAAGAGGATGGGACGTGTCTCACCACACTTATTTTTGGACCAAATTTTCGCTCATGTTTACTTGATAGACTGATAAGAGGTCACTGAATCAACTCGACTTAACCCCTTCTTCCGCTTCGTGGATCAATTCAGTATCTAACTTGATTCGACATTAATTGTGAATCATTAAAACAAGACTGCACTACAAGATAAGTGTGCACTTAGAACGCATTTGTGCATATGTCCTTAGAAGTAGCCTACGAGTCTGTGGGAGTGTGCTCGTCGAGCAGTATGATTGAAGCACAAATCTACAGGAGAGTGGTTGGGCATGTACACTTCTATAGAAGTATGCTTACACCCTCACTGTCAGCTTAACATGCGTTGAAGTAAAAAACATACGTACGACAAAATTACGAAGCACGTGAAGAAAACATGCGCATTATGATGAAATTACGCATACTCTGCAAATCAAAGAGCATACATTGTACGAACGCTCTGCCTGGAGCATGCCTGCAAGCAAGATCTAGCTGGCGCATGCCTGTCAAGCATGCACTTCGTGTATACATGCCACGAAGCGTGTCCTTAGCTTCAGGTAGAGCATACAATGACGTACGCTTCTCGATTACGTATGCGTAATTTCAACGTAATACGCATTCCAAAGTTAGGGTTAAGTGCCGAAGATGGATCGGGGTACCAAACATGGATCATTTCTGTTTGTTGGTCTATATCTAAAGACCAGGTGGCCAGATTTTAAATATCTGTCTTTCCTTGCTTAGACTGACCCTCTGACTGTAAGAAGCGAAGCTGACAAGATAGCAACTGCCTCTCTCTACTCTGCAGGGTTGCGTTTAGAAAGGCACCTAAAACAGGCCCCCGAAAATCGATGGAAAAGTGACGTCTCTAAAAGTGATTTTTGCACCCCTGATTCTGGGCCAAGTTATCACCGCAGTCACTTCAAAATTTTTCATCGTGCACTTAAGATGGACTACTTTGATTTTTTGAGACTATTCAATGCATACCTTGCTTAGTGTCCATACGCTGGTGGGGTGATCCATGATTGGACCGCCCTAACCTTAGCAAAAACAGCCATTTTTTCTTGTCCTCACAACTTCCTAAGTATTCAAGTTAGAGGTTCCATTTTTGGTAGCCGTATGACCAGTAAGGTAAACATCAATATAAGATCAAAAAATTGTGGTCAACCGATACTTATTTTCGATACAGACAAGATTATTTAAAAAGTGATCCATGTTTGGTAACCTTACCCTATGAGGGTTGTTGTGTTATTTTAGTCGTTTACTAAAAATTCTCCTTGCCAAGGACCAAAAAGTTTACGGAGGTATGATTTATTTTTTTAAGGCCGAATGGACATGCAAACAGACTAGCAAATCTGGATTTGACATAATGTATGAATAGGATAGCCGGAATTGTTTTTTGGAAAATGTGTTTTGATTTTATTGCTAAATTTGGTTTATTTTTTTTTTTTTTTTTTTGTTTTTTGAGAAAAACATCTGTTTGATATTGGAAATTTGAGAACCCGGCTTTGCTGCAAGAAAAGAAAATCAATAAAGAACTTGTAAAACTAAAATCAAGTCTTTGGTTCATCACAAGGAGAATTTGGGCCAACGACTACATTTGTTGTGTAAACTTCAATTCAGAAACTAATGGGAGTTAGGTGCCTCAACTCAGGATTTAAGTTCATCATAGTATAGAAAGCAACTAGAAACCAACGTACAAACATGATGCTTAATTATTTTTAAAATTATGTCACATTTTATCACTTTACAAGTAACCTTAAATGTAAAGGATCTCTGTAATTTCTTACCAACCCTTTTTAAGCGTATTACGATGATTTTTCATTAGAAGGTTTGCTTAAATTTGAACATACGTATGCTATGCACAAATGTCAACGGAAGGTACTCTACAAATCAAAGAGGATACACTCACTGTGGAGATAAAGGGACATTTTCTCCGTTATTTTATGGCCAGAACTTTCCGTGATTTGAGACCCAGGATTTTCCGCGATTTCAGACACAGGATTTTCCGTGATTTCACATCCAGGCTTTTTCCGTTGTTTGAAACCCAGAGATTTCCGTAGTTTGCACAGTGCGTTGAACGGCCATGGCAGTGAAGGGCAGACTTTGTGAGGGGAATTTCTAAACTTGCCCAAAGAAACACTAACTTACAGAAATGGATGCATTCGTCTTGTCAAAGTAAACAAAAAAATAGTCATTCCACATCCTAAACACACGTGCGAAATGATGGGTTTGAGCTTCAAACATAACCAAAGTTTCGTATCGGTATGAGGTACAATGATTATTGGCACTATTGACATAAAAAGGTGAAAAATCAAATATGTAGAAATGGAAAACTGATGACGGGAATGGATTCGTCTCAACGAAATAAAAAGAAACATACCCATATGTCATAGGTTTAGACTCGAAATGGCCGATCTACAGAATCCAATAGGTCGATTTTGACCCCCCTTTTTCAAATGCGTTGCGAAAACGTGCTAAAATCGACCTATTGGATTCTGTAGATCGGCCATTTCGAGTCCAAACCTATGACATATGGGTATGTTTCTTTTTATTTCGTTGAGACGAATCCATTCCCGTCATCAGTTTTCCATTTCTATATATTTGATTTTTCACCTTTTTATGTCAATAGTGTCAAAAATCATTGTATCTCATACCGATACGAAACTTTGGTGTGTTTGAAGCTCAAACCCATCATTTCGCACGTGTGTTTAGGATGTGGAATGACTATTTTTATGTTTACTTTGGAGTGATTCCATATCTAGGGAGCACAAGATTTTTTTTGGTGTCACCGATCTCGACCAAAATTTTATCACATATACCCCTAGGGTAGGGAAAGATGCCCACAAATTTTGAAGGTCCTAGGTCGACCCAGTCCGGAGCAGTGGGCCTTAGTGTGTTTTGCGACTTTTTGGTAAAAGTCAACTTTGAAGGTACAAATCGATGGGAAGGGCTTCACCTAGGGACTTGAAAATTTTACCAGGTCTTAGGGGGCATGAGGACAACATTTTAGAATTTTTTCAAGAATTTTAAAAAACTTTTACTTTTTGAAAAAAGTTGAACTTCAATTTTTTTTTCTAGATCTCAAAAACATATTTTTGAAAAAAATTGAAAAAATTTGAGAAAGTGCCTTTTCTTGGTCCTAGTAACTGTACAAAATTTCAGCCTGGGCACAGACTTGGTTTGGGAGCTATGGAAGAAAGCGACAAATTTCACTCCGTAGTCTGAAGGACTTTAGCGGAGAAATGACTAATTTGTAGCCTGGGTATGTAAGAATGGGATAAGCTATGATCCCAAGATAGACATAGTGATCTAATGAATATCTTCTACTTCCTTACTTGTGTTATGAGTGGTTTCAGCCTGTCAGGATTATGTTTCGAAGAGCCAAATCAGGGGCAAATTAGAGACACGGTTTGATTACGATTCCACCTGTGAAATGAACTTACAATGACTTGGCTCTTCAAAACATAATCCTGACAGGCTAGAACCACTCAGAACACAAGTAAGGAAGTAGAAGATATTCATCAGATCCCTATGTCTGTCTTGGGATCATAGCTTATCCCATTCTTATATACCCAGGCTACAAATTAGTCATTTCTCCGCTTAAGTCCTTCAGACTACGGAGTGAAATTTGTCGCTTTCTTCCATAGCTCCCAAACCAAGTCTGTGCCCAGGCTGAAATTTTGTACAGTTACTAGGACCAAGGAAAGGCACTTTCTCAAAGTTTTTCAATTTTTTTCAAAAATATGTTTTTGAGATCTAGAAAAAAAAATTGAAGTTCAACTTTTTTCAAAAAGTAAAAGTTTTTCAAAATTCTTGAAAAAATTCTAAAATGTTGTCTTCATGCCCCCTAAGACCTGGTAAAATTTTCAAGTCCCTAGGTCAAGCCCTTCCCATCGATTCGTACCGTCAAAGTTGACTTTTACCAAAAAGTCGCAAAACACACTAAGGCCCACTGCTCCGGGCTGGGTCGACCTAGGACCTTCAAAATTTGCGGCCATCTTTCTCTACCCTAGGGGTACATGTGGTAAAATTTTGGTCCAGATCGGTGACACCAAAAAAAATCTTGTGCTCCCTAGATATGGAATCACTCTTTGACAAGACGAATGCATCCATTTCTGTAAGTTAGTGTTTTTTTGGGCAAGTTTTGAAATTCCCCTCACAAAGTCTGCCCTTCACTGCCATGGCCGTTCAACGCACTGTGCAAACTACGGAAATCTCTGGGTTTCAAACAACGGAAAAAGCCTGGATCTGAAATCACGGAAAATCCTGTGTCTGAAATCACGGAAAATCCTGGGTCTCAAATCACGGAAAGTTCTGGCCATAAATTAACGGAGAAAATGTCCCTTTTTTTCCACAGTGGCTGTACGCTCTACCTGAAGCGCTTAATAGTGCATACATGCCACGAGGCGTGTACTTAACAAGCTCCAGGTAGAGCATACAATATACGCTTTTCGATCTGTAGAGTACCTTGCGTTGACATCTGTGCATAGCATACGTATGTTCAAATTTAAGCAAACCTTCCGATCAAAAATCATCGTAATATACGCAAAAAGGAGGTCCGTAAGAAACTGCAGAGATCCATTAAATTTAACCAACACAGCTTCCATAACGTAACGGCAATGTTCGCTTAAGGTTGAGGGTGTGGACTGTTGCAGGGTACTTCCAAATACCGTAAGCCTGAGTAATATGAAACAATTTCGGGGAAATATGAGACGGAGTTTGGTTTGCGTAAGATTCACTCTGAGCCCGCTATTCGTCCACACACAGAGCCACTGCTGTAAAAAATTTATTACTCTATAGATAGTGCCATTTTTCGTCGTGAAGTTTGACAGGGATGAGTAATCAAATGCCACGAGCATTACAATTCTAAAGATGAAAATCATGCGTCTCATGTTACCCCGACATTGTCTCATATTACCCCGGCTTACGGTACGAATTCGAGAAGCTAAAAATTAACTTATCCTTTTAAAAAGAAATCATAAGTACCGGGCCATAACTTTGACCCTAACGATAACGTTATGATAACCTTCCGAGGTACCCCCGAGGATCCCTGAGGAATCGAGCGCGCACCATGCCGAGAGACAGGGACCCTCTGTTATTCTAATCCACACCCCGAAACAGTCGACAGCAAAATCGACGAATACTCTACGTCGATTTTAGATGGAAAAAATCCATCTACCCAACCCGCCTATAATGCACGTGGATGCTACGAGGGTGTTCCCAAGGGGGAAGCATCACTGAGACCCAACGAGGTGTCCCTGGGACAGCGGTTCCCAACCTTTTTCAGCCCGCGACTCCAAAACGGCTTCCAAAATTTTTCGCGACCCCAGGAACAAAATTACGCGACCCCACGCAACCCCATCTTTTTTCGAGGGGGAGGGGGGATTTTTTCGAAAATTAACTGTCACCTTTTGAATTTTGACCGAATTTAGAGGGTTTGAGTGTATTTAAGATAGAGTGCCGAAATTTGTAATGAGACATTCTAATTTTCAAATGATAGCTGCCTTACTGTGTTAATTTTGACACCCAAGCTTGGTACTGACCGACCCTCAGGAGCCAACACGCGACCCCAGGTTGCATGCCGCGACCCCACAAAATTTTTCCGCGACCCCGGGGTTGGGAACCACTGCCCTGGGACCAACGAAGCCTGGTCCAGACGGGCGAGGGACGTGTGCTTTGCGTATTATCCCATACTCAGGACAACTTACCTGCCTGCACTGCGGACACGCCCGTGCATCCATTGTCCCCACACAAAGCAGGCACGTCGTGTGGCCACATGGCAGGGCCTTGGGACGCCTCTGCGTGGTGTCCAGCTTCTCCAGACAAATGTCGCAGTCCATTATCAAGCGTCTGAGCTGTGGGAGGGGAAAAAAAGACAAGTTTCCATTAACAAAGCCGAGACCGGTGACGACACTCAAAAAACCTTGCAAAGTATTCTCCGGCATTGTATTGCAAACTCTCTTACAAACTATTTCCTTTGCATTGCGAAGTATTTCTTTGCAACTTGCAAAGAAAATGCTTTGCAACGTTACAAACCGATGCTTCGCAACGTTGCAAACTATTTTCTTCGCAACTTACGAACTATTTCTTTGCAATACGAAGAAAAAAGTTCGCAAGGGAGTTTGTAATACAATGCCGGAGAATACTTTGTACTGCAAAGTACTTTTCTTTGCAAGCTTTTCTGAGTGGACTTCACTAAAAACAAATTTCTTGATCACAAACGAGAGGACAAATTTGATTCCCTTTCAGGAACTATTTATCTCATAATATGTACGACTTTTCGCACATTTGCAGCTAAATTTGTCGTGCAGTGACGATCTGGGTACACAGTAAATGTTTAAGTACTTTTATTGGCCACAGCTATGGCCGTTTTGATACGTACGGGAAGTCATGAACAAATTTGTACGTGACTTAAGCAACTTAGTTGCGCACATTATGTCCATAAGCATTTAGTGTGTAGTAAATTTTGGATGTTTATCACGACTCAATATGAACAAAAGAGCGACTTTTATGGACTGTTTCCGGCTCGGTTTCCGGCTTTTGTTATTCTTCTTGTTCTTCACTCGGCGCTCCGGTGGAAGTGTCTATTGAACCACATCAAATTCTGCGATCCACAGTGCACACAGCCTATTGTTGGGGTTTCGGTGCCTCTCTCGCAGCGCGCCTGGCGCCAGGCACTCTCTGTTGTTGACCATAAACTCGGATGCCCCTACAAATCCGAAGTTCAGACTTCCCGCCACTCCAGAGGCGAGACAAAAAGTCTCAACAAGTTTTGGCCAGACTGGCAAGTTTTGGTCAGACTAGAAAGTCTCGCCAGAAGTTGGTCACACAAAAGTGACTCGTCACGAAACGTCGAAACTATATAAGGCTACACGAATTGATCCAGGAAGCGGAAGAATTAAGGGAATAATTTGACTTATCCCCAAATTGAGTTTTAAATATGTCGTTGTGCCTTAGAATGGTTTGCATCATTGCACCAAATTATTTGACTCAATTCCTAGCAGTTAAAGAGAAAATCCACTTTGAAAAAAGATGTAACTAAACTTGACCTCTTTAACACTCTCAATTTAGCGGAAAATGGAAACATCTCAACCAAAGTCAACATGACTCCGTTCAACATATTGTTGATAGGAGATAACTCAACTTGTGTTTTTATGTATCCATTGTAAAAAGAATCAAGTCAACTTACCCCCTTTAATTTTAAGAACTTAAACGGAAAAAAAGAGCTAGGTCCAAAAAATGCACCAGAGGAACCAACACTCTCTGCTGACTATAGTTCCACTTGACATGTCTCCAAAGTCCACTTCGTTTAAGAAATTTAAGTTGAGATGACTCTGTTTTCCAAACAGCGGAAAGTGATAAGTTACAGATATCCTATACCAGTGGTTCCCAACCCCGGGGTCGCGACCCCATTTGGGGTCGCGGAAAAATTTTGTGGGGTCGCGGCATGCTACCTGCGGTCGCGAGTTGGCTCCTGAGGGTCGGTCAGTACCAAGCTTGGATGTCAAAATTAACACAGCAAGGCAGCTATCATTTGAAGATTAGAATGTCTCATTAAAAATTTCGGCCCTCTATTTTAAATACACTCAAACCCTCTAAATTCGGTTTAAATTCAAAATGTGACAGTTAATTTTCGAAAAAATCCCCCCTCCCCCTCGAAAAAAGATGGGGTCGCGTGGGGTCGCGTAATTTTGTTCCTGGGGTCGCGAAAAAATTTGGAAGCCGTTTTGGGGTCGCGGGCTGAAAAAGGTTGGGAACCGCTGTCCTATACGCAGTGACCTGACACTCCTGATGTTCATCTCAAAATTTAATTTACATTTTTTGGCTGAGCGATAGCGAAGCCTGTTACTCCAGTGGGGTTGAAAAATTTTTCCTGTCTGTCTGTCTGTCTGTGTGTGTACACTACTCCTCCTGAACGGCTCGGCCGATCTGGCTGAGATTTTGCAGGCTTATTAGGTATGTCCTTGGCTCGGCACACGCGAAATTTCACCATCCTAGCTCAACTGGTTTGGTTTTTGTAGCCAAAAACACTTAAAAAAAACGGCAAAAAATCGAGTTTTCTGTAGGCAGATCGCCTTTATCTTGAAGAATGGGGGGTCTGGGGGACGAAGCCCCCCCAGTCCGGAGAAGTGAAAAAGCTACAAGGGTCAAGATCGCGTTATCTGCAGATGAAGCAACTCGATCTGGAATGAAGGGGGGTCTGGGGGGCGGAGCCCCCCAGCACGCAACAAGTTAGGAAAATCGACGAGCCATTGCCTGCCGCAGGCAGGCTAGCGCCGCAGGCCAAGGTAGGTACGCCAGGCGCGGATTGGAGAAACAGGCAGCGAGACATCGCGAAGCCTGTTATGACCAGACGCGGTCTGGCGTAAACCTACCTTGTTTAACTTGTAATCATCTATAACATTCCATTGTTCAGTTTTAGATTACCCTGCTAACAGTTTTTTGTTGCTCCTGAAAAATGGTCAAAATTGAGTTATCCCCTTCTTCCGCTTCCTGGATCAATTGTGGACATTATTTTGGACCCCGCCATTGCGGCACCAAAAAACAGGCTCGCCGTTGTGAGGTGAAACGTATAACACTGGCCAAATTCAGACGAGACTTATTAATCTAACCAAATTTTGATGGGGAGACTTTTCATCTACCGATGTTTCGACGCGCCAACCAGCGTTCCAAGCAGCAGAATGGCCTATTCCACAACCCCAACCAAATCGTAACACTACAAGGTAGGTGTACGCCAGACCGCGTCTTGTCGTAACAGGCTTCACGATGCTGCGCCAGTAACGCAATCCACGCCGGGCGTTTACATCTCAAATCTTGATCAGTTCGAAGCCGCCCGAACCCTGAAATCGCATGCTACACTCTACATCTCTTACGAAGAAATTTCCCATAATGCGAAGGAAATGGTGCCAGCACAATACGAAGGTGTTTTTACTTCGTATTGTGAAGGAATACACCTTCGTATAATGCTTGCGCCGAATTCACTAACATGCGAATAACATACGTCAAATTTCGTTGTGAGATATTTAGAGTGTGGAACATACATATCGGCTCACCCCACAAATGTCACACGTCCGGAAGCCACCACGGAGCCGAGCAGGTAGCCCGGTACCCGGCAATGACGATGTCGGGCGAGGAGTCTAGGAGGAAGAGTCAGTCGGGATAGATGGCTTTTGTCGGACGCCAGGAATGACAATAGAGTGAAGCGATGCTCATAAATAAGAATTGCAGTGTTGACTCCTAGAAAGTGTTCTTGAAAATGACTCACCAATTCGTCCATAGCGTTGGGAGCAGCTAACCGACAGTATCCCAGTCAAATAGGCTAAGGTGGAGACGTCCTCACGGAGTGCCACAGGGGGCGCGGGTCAAGCTGGTATCCGTGTTCGCAGGTGGCCTTGCTGAAGGAGAGCTACGGGAATAGCAAACGACGAAGACACAGTCGAGCCCGCTAAGTTCTCGGATCTTGCGACCGTATAAACCGTCCCCTTCACCCCGAGAGTCCGCCCGCACCAGCCCTCGCGCTCCCCCGGCCTTGTGAATGGCGTACGTGTAGAGGTCGCAAGAACCGACACCTGAGGCGGGTCGACTTTGAGTTGCGAACGGCAGTGAGCAGAGCGTGGGGAAGACATAGCCTCAGGACTTTGGGTGGCATCGCGAAGCCTGCTACGACAAGCACTGCAGTCTAAATGTCTTACAATGAAATTTGACCTATGTTATTCGTATGTTACAGTGAAATCGGCGCAAGCATATTTCGAAGCAATATTCCTTCGTAATACGAATCTTTTTAGCTTTTTCATTGTAAGATACAAAGAAAAACCCTCGTAATACGAAGAACAACCACCTTCGCATTATGCTTGCGCCATTTCCTTCGTATAATGGGAAATTTCTTCGTAAGACATTTAGGGCGTACCTTGTAATTGCGTGCCCCACAGAAGCTTGGCACTCTGGACCGGAAGAAGAGAGAAAACGGAAGTCAGAAATGACTGTTTCTTTGAAATTGGGAGGGAGATGAGCTCCAAGGCTCATGTCCTTTGTAGATTTTCATAGAAATTGGCTAATCTAGTCGTCATCGACTGAAGAACCGGAAGAATCAACAAACCGGAAATGGTCGGGTTCGGGAGAGTGTCGTGTTCCTGATATATGCGAGAAATTCTTACAAGTTTTACCCTTTCCTCTGACCAAAAGTGTTTGGAACACGTATGGACGGGCTCGACCTACAAAACCTCGCCTTGAGCTATACACTGTTAAAAAAATTCTGAAAATTCAGACTAATTTCGTCAGACTTAGCGGTCTGAATCTGTAAATCAGACTTTATTAAATTAATTAAATTAGAGTTTTTGTCTTACTTCTTGGACGCTTGGTCTGAAAGCTTGGTTCAGACTCGAAGTGTCTTAAGGGGGTAGTACACTACGCAAGGTCAAAACATACTGTGTTTGGCAAAAATTCCTGTGGACGCATGACATACAGGACGTAAATACTGATCATGGGATCTTTTCATACTGTAACTAAACGATCTAAATCACAAATTTTGATAGGTGTCCTTGAGCAGCTATTGCGAGTTCGTCGAATTTCGCTTAGCTACTGCATAAAATACACAGTTTTGTCGTTAAAAATAAAAAAAAATGTTTTTAGACAATTTGACGTCATCACGAAAAGTGCTCAAAATTTCACCAAAGACTCGTCATTATGTTCTCTTTTCACCTGTCAAGTGCCAATACGGTTAACTAAATACTTCGGGAGATATTAAAGTTCACGAGTCCAAAAGAGACCAAACCCGTTAATGATTTTCACCTAGATTTGCTTCTATTCGAGTCAGCAGTCATATTTCGACTAAAGTAAAGCTTCGTCTTAAAAAATTTAGAACCAGACTTGATAGTTATATTGAGAATGATGCAATTTAAGGTCACACAAGGAAGACGAAGCTTTACATTAGTCGAAATATGACTTTACATTAGTCGAAATATGACTGCTGACTCGAATAGAAGCAAATCTAGGTGAAAATCATTAAGAGTGGAGCCACCCGAGCGCCTGCGAACTATCGGATAGGCAACAAAGAGGCCTCGGGTGCATGGTGCAGCGGTTGTTGCATATCCTGCTTCTCGCGGGCGCTCTTCTCTGGGAAAGGCCGAGACATGACCAGTCACTAATCGATCGTATAATGGAACCCTTGTCCATTCGACTTCGAAATTCTGCTTACATTCCACAAAGAATCGGTATTGGGTCATTCCAGGAGTGATAAGCCACCTTTTGCATGACCATCTCCGATGTCGCCCAGGCCTGCCCGGTTGTGCTGCGGCGCTGAGGTGTTGCCTGCCTGCCAGGCGCTCGAGTGTAAGGAACTTACCCCACTGAAAAGTTTTTGTGGACACTGAGACAAGGTGGTGCCCAGAAACTGACCGACTAAGTCGCCCGCCCCAGGTTTTGAGGGCGACTTGAGTTGCAGTTTCTGGGCGACACAGTCGCCTAGTTTTAGGGCATCTTGGTCATGTAAATACTGAGCTTACTTATCTATAATGGCCCAAGGCATTGAACACAAGTTTGGCTGCACGTGGATAAACTCAATGGATTTCACATTTGGGTGGCGTGAGAGGTGCCCCGAATCTGGGCAGCGGTGGTTTACATTGGGTCGGACCAACCCCAAAGGTGCTCAGGTTGTGGGCGCCTGGGGCCAGCATAGATAAGTAAGCTCAGTATTTACACGACCAAGATGCCCTAAAACTACTAGGCGACTCAAGTCGCCCTAAAAACTGGGGCGGCGACTTAGTCGGTCAGTTTCTGGGCACCACCTTGTCTCAGTGTCCACAAAAACTTTTCAGTGGGGTAAATTCCTTCCACTTGAGCGCCTGGCAGGCAGGCAACACCTCAGCGCCTCAAGACAGCCGGGCAAGCCTACCTGCCAGGCGCTAGTGGAACGCTGGGCCGGGTGGCTGCAATCGCCATCTGTAGGCCTCTAGCGGCAAACTTCCAGTGGGTGGCCTAACAGACAAGTTTACCTCTTGCTTTATTGAGTTTTAATGTCATTTTTGTGTTTAATGATGGCTTTTTGGCCTCAGAAAGCATTTTTAAGAAATGCAAAAAAAGTTCAAAAAAAAGTATTTTTGAGTTTTTTGCTATCTTTGTGGGCCTGTAGCGCCTAAACGAGGGCCGGTACCACAACTTTGGGGCACAGAATATTAAAGTCCTTGTCCAGGGCTACTATTTGCACCACAGAAACAGTCATGTTTGGATTGGCGTCGATTTTTCCAACCAGGTCAAAAATATGCGATTTTTGGGTGTTTTTCGCTAAAAACATGGGTTTGGAGTTAACCTAGGACCCCCATACCGGCAAATTCGGATTCCTTGTCCAAAATTACGTCAAGAGAACTTTACCGCACCCATTTATCACTATTATTGCCCGATCTGTGGCCGATTTTCACTTTTTAGTAAAAATTAAAACTTTTGGTAATTGCATAACTTTAGGAGGCTGCCATTTCTAAACTACTGGAGCTACAGCGGTGAAATTTCGCACAGAACCTCACCTTACTAAGGACAACATTTGGGCAAAATATGGGCGACATCGGAGATAGTCATGCAAAAGGTGGCTAATCACTCCTCACTGAGATTCCAAACGCTATGAGTATAGCACGTATGGTGCAATGCAGCTGAGATATCGCACCATACGTGCAATGCGATAGCCATATTGCACCTTACGTGCAATGCATCCCGAAAAGGCCCTATGCTAATGCATGGAAATGGGGAGGCATTGCACTTCATGTGCAATGCTTTTGCATAGCACCAATTGACGCTATACTCATAGCGTTTGGAATCTCAGTGCTGGAATGACCCTATTTCATATTTGGTGAGCCAGCTTCGACCGGGTCACAGTCAGGAACGAGGGCTCCGAAGGTTTGTTATTAAAATCGGACAGGTTTATATTTCTTGAGAGAAAACTTTAGTATCACGACTTAATTAAGTTAGAAATATACAAACGAAAGATTTGAAATGCCATACTCGAGGACGCTGGATGACTCAAGCGTTGGTGATCCGAAGTGGCCTTTGGGATACGGACGACTTCAACTATAGGCTGTTCCGTTGTTTAAACTCCACAGGCCGGAAGACACCATTAATAAAGGCGCAAAACTCAGATGTAAGCGCGTAGCGCGTGCCCATTTTACAGCTCCTCGTAAATCAAGTTCTGTTCCCGGGTGTTAATAGATAAGTTACTGCCGATGTTCTCCTAAGCAGAGAAATTCACAGTTTATTCCACTCGTGCTGTGGGTGGAGGCGAGATAAACTAAACCGGGAGTATAAAAGACCCACTGGCCGAGTTCATTCAGGAATGTACAACATGTGCCGAGTGACTCAGCCTGAGTCTATTTCTGCATCGCGTTTCTTGAGCTTTTAAACGAAATCTTTGAAATGTATGAAAAGGTATCTTTTCAGCAGATATCTGTTTCCTTCTTTGCAGGGACTATTTTTCTGCAAGTAGGGCTGAAAGAACCTTGGGGCCGTTTGTTTATTGCGTTACGCAGGTTTGGACCCTATTGACTTAACGTGGCGTAACGCAGAACGTGGCGTAACGCAGGACCAGACCCGCACTGCGTAACTTTTCTCAGAACCTCTGATTAGAACTCTATTTCTACTTCAGAAATGTGCTCCCATTTGTGATGGGTTTTGCAGCCCGTTACACACTTAATGTGATGTACAATTTTGTACCAGACATCACAATTTTTTTAGAACACGAAATTTTCGTACGAAAAACGGCACATTTACCGCCATTGTACAAAATTTTGTACACATTCGTACGTAAAGTTCGTGTGGGGAGTGGTTTTATCCCGTGGTGGAACCACCCCCCTAGCTGGCTCAGAGGGGTGCATTTATCACGGGATAGAACCACCGGGGGGTGGTTTCATCCCTTGATAAAATCACTCCCCGAAAATGGTGGGTCATTTCATCTCGTGATGAGACAACCCCCTATATTTCGCATATTTTACGGGAGAGCGTCCCGGTCATCTTTACGCTTTTATCCGTCTCCACAAGATTGAGCACCCAAAATAGGGGCGCACTCTTGAAAGCTTGTAAACGAAAGTACTTTGGACGTAGTATTCACCAGCTTTGTGTTACGAACACCTTCGCGAATGTTTTGTGCATTCTACACACTAAATTATTATGTAGGTTTTTCTGCGCGCCAAAGTACAAAATTAAACATGCACTTCGTAACGCACGAATTTGTGCGCGACCATGCACGATTTTCTGCATACTCGCGCATGAAATCGCTAATTGTCGCGCACAAATTCGTGCGTTACGAAGTGCATGTTTAATTTCGTGCATTGGCGCGCAGAAAAACCTACATAGTAATTTAGTGTGAGGCTTTCATTTTACCGTGTTGTGACAAGTGCTGTCAAAACCCGTTAAATAGGAAAATTTGGGGGTGGTTTCATCACGTGATAAAGTAACTCCTCGTCTTTGGGGGTGGTTTTATCCCGTGATAGGTGCACCCCCCTGAGCCGGCTAGGGGGGTGGTTCTACCACGGTATAGAACCACTCCCCAGACCCAGCAGGGGGGTGACTTCACCTCGGTATAAAACCACCCCTTCTCAGGAATCAGCCATAGGGTGTGGTTTTATCCCGCGATAAAGTCACCCCCGGTTCTTTTGCCGGGGGGGTGGACCTATTGCCCTACACCGGCACACCATTCCTTCCACTCGGCCTGTGCATAGTTTCGTGATCAAGTTCGGTGCGTCTGCAGCAGCCACTCCACTCAAAGGTTGCCTCGGATTAGGTCGTTTGCTATTTGGCACTGCATCAAAATGCCATTTCGTCTATTGTTCACACGTGGTCTCATTCGCACCACCCGGTTATGCAGACTGGGTTTTTGGGGTATGGAGCCTTTTCACGGGCGTCATTCCTGGGTACTGCTTTGGTCCGTGGTCTCAGTAGTTTCGCTCACACTGCGAAGAAACCACAGTGAATCCCGTAATTTTTTATGCCGGGATATACTGTAGTTCAGATCAAAGGATTTACTGTACCTGGTACAGGGTTTTCCGTACTCCACTCCTCTGGTACAGTAAATCCCGTACGAAGCACAGCAGATCATGTTTAGAATTACAGTAAATCCTGTACTCTGAACTTCAGTGACAGCTGTTGTAATCATCACAGGATTTACTGTGATGTTTTCCCACAATGCACTCGTGCTTTTTCTTCTAATTCATACTTTATTTTTCACTAATTGATGCGATCCTACGTACAAATTTTTTTTCCGAAAATGTTAGCTTGTTTGAAATTGCGTGAACAGTCTGTCAAGATTCCCACTTCCTGAATGCACTAGGGAATTTCTAGTCTCTGCTTCATCTCAAGCGTAACTTTATGCTTGACACTAGCAAAGAGTCAAGAGCCACATCTTAGTCTTACCACTGCTTTCGCTTCGTAACTGCAAACCAAATGAGGCAGCAAAGAATTTTATTTGCACTTTGTAGGAATGCTTCTTATTACGAAGGATTTTGCTTCAAAATACGAATCAAAACCTCACAAGAGTTGTCAATAGAGAAAATTATTTTATGTTTTGTTGAACAAAGATGATCACTTGACAAAGTGAAGTGTGTTCGGGATTGAGATCATTACGCTGCTAGATGCCGTGATCGAGTATGTCATGAAAAGAACAATCACGTTGTACCTGCCTCGTCACCCATTGTATAATTCTCATTCCGGTATTGCCAACGTAACTGAAGTGACTTTTTGTTTCCATTCAGATCACGTTCTACCGCATCGTCAACGCTGCCGGGGCTCTGTCTGCTCTAGAGTCACTGCAGACCTCCTCAGTGCCACAACGATGGAACAATCGGTTAGTGGTTTGCTCTTAACTTGTGAAATCATGAGACTACACACTAAATGAATTCGTACAATTTTGTATGTGAAACAAGTGAATCGCACAACCTCGTGTGAACTTGCGTACAATTTTGTACGAAGAGCATTTAAGTGCAAAATCGTAGGAGACCACGTACTAAAATTCTACAATGGAATTTAGTGTGTCGTTCGTGGTTGAACAAATCCTATTGAGCTCCCAACTCTGTCCCATTTTTTATTCCATTCAAATCAAGATTGCAAGGCATGTACTCTGCGATTTTTATTGCCTTTAAATGAAAATTCCTGGTTGTGACTGAAAATTTTTATTATCTTCAAACAATGTCACACTAGAGGAAACCATGATTTGCGTCAGCAACCCTTGCAGAATTCCTATGCATCTGTCGTCGAGCTTGAACCCTGACTGCTGCTTGATGTTTCTTGTTGAAGTGAGATACTGCGCGAAGGAACACTGGTGAAACAAAGGCTTAAAAAGTAGGCCCTTCTTGGGCGTAAACGATTCACGCCCCCAACGGCGTGAATCATTTTATGCCCTTGGCACTGTGCGAAAAAACCACTGTGAATCCCGTTTAAATTTTCAGCGGGATTTACTGTGCCTGGCTACAGTATTTACTGTACCTGGTACAGGATATTCCGCACTCCACTCCTGAGGTACAGTAAATCCTGTACGAAGTACAGTAGATCCTCGAGAAAAGTACAGTAAATCCTGTACTCTAGACTACAGTGACAGTTGTACTAATCACTACAGGATTTACTGTGATTTTTTCCCAAGGCGGGGAGGGGTGTAAATTGGCACAGGACGTGTTTTCACAATTAATGCCCTTCCAGAGGCATATCCGTTGTAGCGCGCGTGTTACACGGTAAAAACGGTACCTGGTTTTCCCAGGAGCCCTATGGCGAAGACATAGGCGATTTCCAGGGGGTTCCTGGGAAAACCAGGAACCGTTTTTACCGTGTACGCTTTCAAAGGGCGTCATGGACTGTTAATGCCCGAGACAGCTCTTGAGCTGCCGCGTGCTGTGCCGCCGCCTCCGCGATTTGTGCCTCCACCCCGACCTGTGGCGCCGCGTCCGAGTGGCGTGTCCATTGGAGCACTGTGGTCTGTGCCGCAGTGCCCTCCGGCTCGCACCCTGCCTCCGCGAACTCGATATCAGCGAGATTGATTACCTTGAGGATGTTGCCACCGAAGTGTCCCGCACCTCGTGTGTCGTCGCTAAACTTAAGCTGCGTATCGACCCACCCGAAGCCGATGCCACGGCTATAGTAGAAAAGATTTCTGCTCTCGGTGGTCTTGAGGAACTGGTCCTGAGTATCTGGAGTGCGGAAGACGTCGTGGATGTGAATGGGCTCCTGGGGGCAATGTACAAGGCTGACCGTCTCCGTAAATTGACAATCGATGGTTATGGCGAGGTGGATTCAATAAGTGGCCGGGAGATGAGCCCCTCCCTGACCGAGCTTACACTATGTCATCGCCGTCGACCTCATGACGCTTTAGTAGAACATCTACTGGAGGCACACGCCGCCACCCTCGAACGTGTCGTTTTCAAGGGGTCCGTGCTTCCCGTGTCTGCTTTATTAATGCTGCCTAGGCTACGTTCCTTCGGGTGCAATGTAGACGTCTTAGGACTTCCGGAATTCCTGCGTGCGGCGTCGCAGCTGCGCTCTGTGTCTCTTGGTCCCATGATGAATGCTGATGTCATACCTGCTCTGGCTGCATCACCCTCTGCCCGTGTCTTAGAAACCCTTGAACTGCGTGTCGCATACGAAGAAAGCTTCTGGCGTCAGGTAGCTGCTGACGTACCTGAGTTGACAGCTCTACGGACTCTCTCGCTGAAATTCGATCCATTCGATTTGTCGCATCGGGAACCCTGCCTCGGTTTGATGCGGGCGCTGAACCCAACAACTGCCCCTAGCCTCACCACGCTGGAGATGGTCGGTATACGCCAACCCTCAACGAGATATTGCGTCCACGCCTGGCTGCACAACCCCGCCGTTGAAGAACTTCTGAAGAGGAACCCTCGTCTCCATCTCCGCCTGTGGGACTTTTTTTGGTACCTTCGTTGCACGTGCACCTGGTGCAAAAAAGAGTGCTACTCCGAGATTCGTTGGAGATCTGAGGGCCGGGCCGCGTTCGCGGCGCACTCCAGGGGTGAGTGCTCCACAGTTGGCCATGAATTGTAGCCCCACGATCGACCCTCTGCTGGCTGGAGTTCGGATGGTGTGATCAAAGTAATCGAACTCATGGATTTTCTTTTTTGTAATTACTATTTGTGTCGAAGTTAAACGTTAGGCCCCAGATTTCTTCGCCAAGACTTTTCTAATAACTCCTATTAAGTTAGTCAGTTGTGGAAATTCTGTTCGCCACAATATAGACGTGTTTTTGAAGACAGCGGTGTCGTTCCTGTGGTCGCACTG